GCGTGGATTTTGTTGCCGTGTTTGTTGCTACAGGGAATGAAGTCCCGCAGAAGGCTGCTGCTCTCCTCTTCGGACGCCTCCTTCCTTCCTTCCTTTCCACGTCTGACCTTTTCCTCGTGTTCCGTTGTGCCAATCTTTGGATCTTCATCTCTATGTCTATCTTCCTGTATCGAAGAGTGTATACTGGCGTTGTGTGTGTGTTGAGACAGGATCTCATTCTGTGGCCCAGGCTGGAGTATAGTGCTGTGATTATGGCTCACTGCAGCCTCAACCTCCTGGGCTCAAGCAGTCTTCCCACTTCAGCCTCCCGAGTAGCTGGGACTACAGCCGTGCGCCACCACACCCAGCTAATTTTTGTATTTTTAGTAGAAGTAGGGTTTTGCCATATTGCCCAGGCTGGTCTCCAACTCCTGGGCTCAAGTGATCCTCCTACCTTAGCCTCCTAAAGTGCTGGGATAATAGGCAGGAGCCACCGTGCCCACCCCGTGTGCTGTATCTTTCTATATCTCTTCCTATTTCTTCATTTCTCCTTCTGTCCCTCCTGCTCTGTCTCTGCTTCAATGGTCCCTAATGCGGAAATGAAGTATGGTTCTAAACAAAGTAACTTTTATTTCAGAAGAGATGTCCATTTTCTCTGTGAGGGTATTTATTTATTTATTTATTTGAGAGAGGTTCTTGTTCTGTCGCCGAGACTGCAGTGCAGTGGCACAATCTGAGATCACTGAAACCTCTGCCTCCCAGGCTCAAGCGATCCTCCCATCCCGGCCTCCTGCGTAACTGGGACTACAGTTACTGGGGTGGGTTCCATCCCATCCGACTTTTTTTTTTTTTTGGGAGACAGGGTTTTGCCATGTTGTCCAGGCTGGTCTCCAACTCCTGAGCTCAAGTGATCCTCCCGCCTTGGACGGATCTCAGGGTGCTGGGATTACTACTGTGAGCCACTGTGCCCAGCCTGTGTTCGGATTTTTGAAGTGGATGAGTGATGAGTGGACAGCGACCCCTAAGTTCCCTTTGGGTTCTGGTACTCACTATGTGGAGGCATCTCACGTGTGATCTCACTTCTTTTTCATGTCCATGATTTTTTGAGACAGGAGGAAAAGGTCCTTCATCAAGGGTAGTTGCCCACACATCACATATCTTAATGGCATTCACCTGAGAACTCGCAAAGTATTTTACAAGTAAATACGGTATTTTCCATTTAAGGCTGAAGAAACCAAGAAGCAGATATGGGGAGAGTCCCTGTGTCCTATTGCCTAATGATAGCGAGTGGAGTCCAGAGGAATGGGGGACAGCAGACGGAAAGGCAGGCCCACATGCTTTCAAGGCGGAAAAAATCCCCCCGTAGCCCTTCAGAATGGGGAGCTTTATAAATTCTCTGTTCAAGAGGGTGACAGTCTAAATTTGGTAAGTGAGTTTTATGTTGCCATTAAGTAGCCCAAACTTCACTCTGGAAACCCACACAAGCAGCGTAATGACAAACTCGTGAAACCCCAGCGCCACAGCATGGAGTAGTGAAAACCACCCTGGAACACGAATCCAGCCCCAGGTTCTAACCTGAGCCTTGTCATTTCACAGGGTGGCAAGTCAGCGGCCCATCCTGCACGTCGCTTTCTTCACGGGTAACATGGAAATAAGTTTAGCCAACCTCACTGCGTTATTTTGAGACCCAGGTGAGATAATACATGTGAAAGTGCTTTGAACATTTGTAAAGTTACATATAAACATAGAACAGTGTTCATGGCAGCATCAGAGCCCATAAATTCACCATACATATTTATATTTATGAGTAAGTAATTAGGAACCGTATTCATCAGAAACTACATTGTAAGAAATTATTATTCCCTCCTCACTTATCAGGCTCGAAGACAGTATAGTCATTCGGCACATGGAACTAAAGGCAGAAACTACCGAGTTCAAATCCCAGCTCGCCACCAGCAGTGTGACCTGGGGCAATTTTTAAATTGCTCTGGTCTGAGTCTCATTCTGCTGATACACACACACACACACACACACACACACACACGCACACACAGAATAACATTTGTTGTGAGGATTTAATGAGACAAGGTACACAAAATGTCTGATACAGGACCTAGAAACAGTAAGTACTCAACAGGCATGAGCTTCGGACAGTATGAAACACCTCCTGCACCCTCAGAATGTGCCAGCCTCCGACTGGGGGTACAAAATGGAAAGACACAGTCCTTGTTTCTAGGACCTGACAGTCTGGTGGAGAAACATCCAAATAAGAAAACAACAGGCCCGTGACCCAAACGCAAAGGCAGACCTGGAAACCTCCTGAGAGAAGGAAACAGCCGATTCCAGACTTTTGAAGGATGAGCAGAAGTTTGTGTAAAAACCAGACTTGTGGTTTGTGTTTGGCTTTATCATTTGCCCATAGGGGTTTGATCGCTGGAAAAGCTAAGGTTCATGTTGACGCTTGTTAGCTTTATGGTGATTCAGTGTAAACATTCTGGTGACTTCACTGAACATAGTGTTGAAACTGATTTTACTTGCCGTTTTCTTTTTTTTTTTTTTGGAGACGGAGTCTCGCTCTGTCACCCAGGCTGGAGTGCAGTGGCCGGATCTCAGCTCACTGCCACCTTTGCCTGCCAGGTTCAGCGATTCTCCTGCCTCAGCCTCCCGAGTAGCTGGGGTTACAGGTGCCCGCCACTACGCCCGGCTAATTTACTGTATTTTTAGTAGAGATGGGGTTTCACCGTGTTAGCCAGGATGGTCTCGATCTCCTGACCTCGTGATCCGCCCGCCTTGGCCTCTCAAAGTGCTGGATTACAGGCGTCAGCCACCGCGCCCAGCCTTTACTTGCTATTTTCTATACATGAAACACGTGTTGTTTTGTTTTCAATTCATAAAGATGCCTTACAAGCTGTACAAACAACTTCTTGTGTGGGAGGAGACTGGTTCCCACCACTTCAAAGTGTGAGCATACTCAGTGCCAAGGTGCTGCTCCCTTTAAGGAGGGAAGGCAGGGAGGACTTATAACCACCTGTCACTCTCTGGAAACGCTGGCACTGGAGGTCACTGTGATAAACGCTTAAGAGACAGTGGACTTCATAAGGTCGTTTTCCTGGAGAGAATGGAGAGTTCACAGGTAGCTGGTTTTGTCCACAAGCAAATGTGAAAATATGGAGAGCGCTGCATTTGTCAGATACCCTGGGACCAAACTGAGGTGGCTTTCTCCTTTCTCTGAGTATGTCAGCAGTGAATCTGGGAGTTAGAGATGTTGCCCTAAGTGGATGAAGTTTGAGGCTTTTCTTGAGGCTGTCTGCCACCTTCCTGTTGGCTAAGTCCCTTTTCTTAACCACGTATAGGAAGATGTTAGAGGCTACATTCATTCCGAATGGTCACAACCTAATAACCGATACTATCACTAAAGGAAAACTGTCTTTTAAACCTGAGAAACCTCTTCAGACTCCATAACAAATGAACCCAAATTGAAAAAAAACAAATGCTCACTCTACACCAGTTCCTGCATCACTAACTGCCATGTTAAAGTAATTTAACTGGCATCTAACAGAAATCATCTGCCACTTTGTAAAAGTCCTAGACTGGTAAGAATCTAGAGCTTTAAAGAGCTCGTAATCCAACCTCCCTGTCATTTCACAGACCAGCAAATCGTGGCCTAGAGAGCCGAGCCCAGCTGTTCCGAAGTCCTCGTATGGGATTTTGGTCAGCATTTTGCATGACGGTGATCTGCGGAGACCCGTCACACCTCTTCATTTGTAGTAACATAAATGAACTGTATTTCCCACCCCCTACATTTGTTAGCTGAGGAAGATACAGACCAAAGCAAAATAAAGCTGGAAGTTCCTAAAGGAGAGAAGCCAAAGATACTGAAATTACTGTCCCCATCCATGTGATTGGTGCTTGGCACGAGTGAAATATATTACAATTCATTCAAGTTTAGACGCCTGTCCCGATAACTTATTTTTACTTTTACTTTTTTGAGACAGAGTCCTGCTCTGTCGCCCAGGCTGGAGTGCAGCGGCCTGATCTCGGCTCACTGCAAGCTCCGCCTCCCGGGTTCAAGCGATTCTCCTGCCTCGGCCTCCTGCATAGCTGGGACTACAGACATGCACCACCACGCCCGGCTAATTTTGTAATTTTGTACTTTTAGTAGAGACGGGGTTTCACCATGTTGGTCAGGCTGGTCTCGAACTCCTGACGTCAAGTTATCCGCCTGCCTCAGCCTCTCCAAGTGCTGGGGTTACAGGCGTGAGCCACCGCGCCCGGCCCCGATCCTTTTAAATAATGACACGTTGAGAACAACAGCACAGCCACTGAGTCTCTGGATGGTGTCTCCGGAGAGATCCACGGCCGAGAGGCAGTAGAAGCCGCAGCCTCCGCAGGCGGCCTCCTGGTGCAGGTGGAGAGGGGGCTGCAGGCGGCGCTGGACCTCAGGCTTTCTGAGACCCCCCGGGGCAGCTGCGGCCGCTGGAGGGACCGGGAAAGGAATCGTGGCGGGACGGGAAGAGGCCACATCCTGAAGACTCCCCCCGAGAAGCACCAGGGCTTGGCGGACGAGGCCGCCTCCCTCCCTCCTTTCCCGAGGGCTCGCCCCACCCCGGCGGGGGCTCCTACCTGGCTTCCTCGGCCGCGCGCCCACCCCGCCCCTCCGCCCGCGGCCGGCCAGGAGAGCAGGTCGGGGAGGGGCGCGTCGGGTGACGGAACAGAAGCCGGGGAGCCGCGGCCCTTCCCGCCTCCGCCTCGGCCCCGCGGCCGCTCGGGAGGGAGCGGCGGACTCGGAACTCGCGCGCGCCGCGGCCCCGGCCGGAGCCCCCGCCTCGGTCCCGCCCCCGCCCCCGCCCCCGCCTCCGCCTCCGCCCGCCGGGGACGCCGGGGAACCCTCGGGGCCCAGGGACAGCGAGAGACCCCGCCCCGCCCTATCGCGGCCGCCAGGCCTGGTCACGCGCAGAGCCGCGCCGCGGGATCGGGGCCAGCGCCGGGCGGAGGCGGGACGGGGACGGGGCGGAGGGTAGAAACGCGCGGCCGGGCCGGGGCGCGCCGAGCCGAACCCAGCCACGCGGCGCCAGCGAGGCGGCCGGACCCGCAGCCCCGATGCTGCTGACGCTGGCCTGGGGCGCGCTCTTCTTCCCGGGGCTCTTCGCGCTCTGCACCTGGGCGCTGCGCCGCTCCCGGCCCGGATGGAGCCGCACCGACTGCGTGATGATCAGCACCAGGTACCGGCGCCGCCGAGACGCCCCCGAGGCCCGGGCCGCTGCCCACCCCGCCCCGCCCGGCTGCGGGGCCCAGGGCGGAAAAGGGGGGCGGCAGGAAGCCGGGGGGCTGCTGCCTCTGGGGCGCGGCGGCCCGAGCTACCGAAGCCCCTCCGCGTCCTCCCCTGGCGGGAGCGGGGCCGGGGCGGGCGGGAGTGGCCGGTGAGTCTCTGGAGCCCGCTCCCCACGTCTGCCGGCGGCGGGGGAGAGTCAGGCCGAGGGGCTGGGCTGGGCTCTCGGCGGTCCTCGGACGGGACTGAGCGCGCGCGCTGTTTTCCTCTCCGCCCGCGCTAGGCTGGTTTCCTCGGTGCACGCCGTGCTGGCCACCGGCTCGGGGATCGTCATCATTCGCTCCTGCGACGACGTGATCACCGGCAGGTAAGAGCCCGGGCCAGGGGCTTGTTGCAAATGTCACCTTTCAGTGGCTGTTTCTCACACGCGCGCTTAGAGAGCTGACTAATGGGAAAAGCTGGCTGCACAATGGGCTCCTTCTTCCTCTCCGGAGTCTTCGAGCACCCGCAGCTTAGGAGAAAGTCCGCGGAAATGAGAGAGGACGACAGAGGCGGAGTCTGATTTCAGGTGGTGTGAGCGGACAGTGTGGGCCAGGGATCCAGGTCCTTCACGAAAGAGAGAAGCGTGGAAGCATTTGCGACTTGGGAGTATGGCTTCTGATTCTTGTAGCTGGTTTCACTGGGTTCCCACTCTGAAGCATCATTGGCTAATACACGTCCAGGGTGGTTAGCAGAGCCCCCCCATGGCCAGGAACAAACCCACCTCCCCTTTCCATGCAAACGCCGCTCTCGTTTTTCCTGCAGATTTGCTAAAGGGTATGGAGAGGCTCCCAGCGCTTAGAACACGGGTGTGTCTGTTAGAGCTCAGTCCACAGGCAGGTGAGGAAATGTGCACCTAGTTGCAGTTCCAGTGAAACAAATCATAAATTAAGACCAGAATAGTCTGCTTTGTACAATATTTAGACCTGGGCAATGGTGGTGCTTTTATTTTTTTATTTTAATTCTTTTTTCCCCCACCGGTCTTGCTAGAATCACACTCACTTTCTCCCAAGTTAAAGGACCACAGTCGGACGTGCAGGAAAGTTGAACGGCCTTTCCAGGCCCTGCTCTCCTGTGGGCTCTGCCAAGTCCTGCTTCTCATCTGCTGAGACTGGACTGTGAGGGGCCTGAGCAGGCCGTCTGTTTCATTCTAGCCTGCAGTCTTACTTGGGATCAATCCTGCTGTCATGATTTTTGTGCTTTTCTTCTGCCTTTTTCTTTTTCTTTTTTTGAGACGGAGTCTTACTGTGTCGCCCAGGCTGGAGTGCAGTGGCACAATCTGGGCTCACTGCAAGCTCCGCCTCCCAGGTTCACCCCATTCTCCTGCCTCAGCCTCCCCAGTAGCTGGGACTACAGGCACCCGCCGCCACACCCAGCTAATTTTTTTGTATTTTTAGTACAGACGGGGTTTCACCATGTTAGCCAGGATGGTCTCGATCTCCTGACCTCGTGATCCGGCTGTGTCGGCCCCCCACAGTGCTGGGATTACAGGCCTGAGCCACTGCGCCCCACCTCTTTTGCCTTTTTAAAAACAAAACTGGCTATTGGTGATGAATAGTAGATGCGAAGAGAAGATAGACCAAGTGAGGTTGATTGTAGACACCAGAGGTTAATATTTGGGTGGCTGAGTTCAACTTTTCTTTTTTTTTTTTTTAAAGACAGGGTCTCACTATGTTGCCCAGGCTGGTCTTGAACTCCTGGGCTCAAGTCATTTTTCTGCCTCACCCTCACAAAGTGCTGGGGTTACAGGCATGAGCCACCACACCCAGCACATTTTTACTTTTTTTTTTTCCCGTGGAGACAGGGTCTCTGTTGCCCAGGCTGAGGTGCAGTGGCATGATCATAGCTGACCGTAGTCTTGAACTCCTGGGTTCAAGCCACCCTTCTTCCTTAGCCTCCCAAGCTTGGACTACAGGTACACACTACTATGCCTGGCTTTTTTTTTTTTTTTTTTTTTGTAGACAGGGGTCTCCCTATGTTGCCCAGGCTGGTCTTGAACTCCTGGCCTCCAAAGATCCTCCTGCCTGGGCCTCCCAAAGTGTTGGGATTATAGGCGTGAGCCACTGCGCCCGGCCAGAAAAGCCCTTTCAGGGTTCATATACCATACACTAAATATTTTTCTATTATGTGCCTTCTCATTTTATGTCTTCATATAGAATGTGATTAGATAGGAGGAGTTATCTATAAATTCCTCCAAATTATAGGCAGAATGTGGTATGGGGCGAAGGATTTAGTCAGATTCTTAAAGGGGTTCAGACCCCTAAAATGGCTAGGTCACAGCTCCAGGTTGTTTTCTCAATTTAAGTACTTAATTCAGATAGTATACTTTGTTGTTTTTAAATGGGGTCTCGCTCTGTCACCCAGGCTGGTCTGGAACTCCTGGGTTCAAGCCGTTCTCGCACTTAGGCCTCCCAAAGTGCAGGGATCATAGGTGTGAGCCACCATGCCCAGCCTGTATAGTACCTTTTAACATTTAAAAGGACTCCCCCTCCCCTGCTTTTTTTTTTTTAATTGAGATGGAGTCTCTGTCACTCAGGCTGGAGTGCAGGGGCACGCCCTTGGCTCACTGCAAACTCCACCTCCCAGGTTCAAGCAATTCTCCTGCCTCAGCCTCCTGAGTAGCTAGGATTACAGGCATGTGCCACCATGTCTGGTTAATTTTTGTATATTTAGTAAAGCCATGTTGGCCAGGCTGGTCTCAAACTCCTGATCTCAGATGATCCGCCCGCCTTGGCCTCCCAAAATGCTGGGATTACTGGCATGAGCCACAGTGCCTGGCCGACTTTCCCACATTTAATTATGTAATCTTCACTGCAACTTTGACAGGTAAAGACAAGGATTATCATCTTCATTTTACAAAGAAAGTTAAATCACAGGCTGGTGGTGGTTAAGATTATAATCTAGATCTCTTGCTCATAAATCTTCAGAGGAGTCTACCCATGAGTCACAATTCCAGATCTCATCTCTGAATTGGTGAAAATATGAAAACCTTAGGTTCCCTTCAAGGGGAGAGGCCAGTTATATTTCAGCTAAAATTTTATTGGCTGTTTGTAGGTATTTTACTTGAAACAGCTTCAAGAAAGCACCTGAGACCATAGATGGGCACTGGAATAAGTACTGCATCTTTTTAGTCACATGGAACCTGGCTAGGTCAGGTGCAGTGGCTCATGCCTGTAATCCCAACAATTTGGGAGGCTGAGGCATCAGGAGCTTGAGACCAGCCCAGCCAACATGGTGAAACCCCCATCTCTACTTAAAAATAAAAAAAAAAAAGAAACTAGCCGGATGTGGTGGCAGGTGCCTCTAATCCCAACTACTCATTTGAACCCGCAAGTCGGAGGTTGCAGTGAGCTGAGATTGCGCCACTACATCCAGCCTGGGCAACAGAGCGAGATTTTGTCTCAAAAAAACAAACAAACAAAAAAGGAGCCTGGCTAATGAATTCACCTACAACTGTGTCATACTTGCCATTACTTGCTTGCCTGATTTGTTTATGCATTATTTACGCCGTGGTAAGTGTGGAGTTGCTCGAGCAGAAATTCAGATGGTGCCTCTGTGGACTGTATTTCCAATGTTGCAGTTCAGTGGACTGGCTCTGTCCGAAATCAGAGACAAAGTTAATACAGATTTGAGGGCCCTCGGCTTACAATTTAGAATCTCTGGGGACTGGAGCTCTTAACAAGCACTGCAGGTGATTCTGATGTTCAGGTAGCTTGAGAACCATACAACTGAATGATCTTCTACCTAACCCGTGGATGTGCATCAAACATTCGCTGACCAAGTGAATGGAATCCTTGGATAGTACGTGATTGCGTTTAGATGTTTCTTCACAGAAAACATCTGTGGAATGCTTCTTTATCATTGGGAACCACGTGGTATGAATTGTAGAGACTTCCCTTCTAATCTGCTCTAGGACAGTGATCAACTATTATTTCCATTCAGCAAATACTGATTCGGCCCCTTTGGACAAGTAAATGGGAAAACTGTCTTTTGACCTAGCCTCTCTCCTGGTACCTAACTGCCATAATGTGGCCCTTGAGCTTCAGGCTTATTTCCAGACCTGCTTTTTTTGGTTTTGTTTTTTGAGACAGCGTCTCACTCTGTTGCCCAGGCTGGAGTGCAGGGACGCGATCTCAGCTCACTGCAACCTCTGCCTCCCAGGTTCAAGCGATTTTCCTGCCTCAGCCTCCTGAGTAGCTGGGATTACAGGTGCGTGTCACCACGCCTGGCTAATTTTTGTATTTTTAGTAGAGACGGGGTTTCACCATGTTGGTCAGGTGGGTCTTGAACTGCTGACCTCGTGATCCACCCGCCTCAGCCTCCCAAAGTGCTGGGATTACAGGTTTGAGCCACCGCGCCCGGCTAGCTCTAGAATTGTAAAGAAAATGGCCAGGGTTTTCTCCCAGAAACTCCGTAGAGTGGGGTTACATGCAGACACAAAACTCACAGGTTCCAGGATTTAAGTCAGTAAACCCCCAACTGTTGAGCAACTAAGGAGTTAAACCAGAAATATTGGATTTATGATTTGGGACACTTTCCAAACCAGCTTCTTGCGGGGGCTGTTGATTTATCTGTATATCTATCTATATCAAAATCAGTTTTATCACAAAATGCCAGAACATGTATTACAAATTAGTAGCTAAGTCAGGCAAGTAGTGACAGCAAGCTGCTTAAACAGGTGGGCTGAGTGAATGCCTGCTTTTTGCCTTTGACACTCATGAATCAGCCCTGAAACGGAAAGTGGTCTGCTCTCCGTGTTTATCAGTTGCAACATCTTCACTGTAAAATATTTGGAGTAATAATAGCTGATCAAGCACCAAGCTTGGCTGTGAGCCTTTGTAATGGATATCCACAATGATTTCACGGGCCATTCATATGCTTTCTTTCAGGCACTGGCTTGCCCGGGAGTATGTGTGGTTTCTGATTCCATACATGATCTATGACTCATACGCCATGTACCTCTGTGATTGGTGCCGAACCAGAGACCAGAACCGTGGGCCCTCCCTCACGCTTCGAAACTTCCTAAGTCGAAACCGCCTCATGATCACACATCATGCGGTCATTCTCTTTGTCCTTGTGCCAGTCGCACAGGTATGGCCTTCCAGGACAGCAGACCAGCAGCTGGGTTGAGCTGGATGTCTTTATTTATTTATTTATTTTTGAGACAGAGTCTCACTCTGTTGCCCAGGCTGGAGTGCAGTGGCACTGTCTCGGCTCACTGCAACCTCCACCTCCCAGGTTCAAGTGATTCTCCTGCCTTAGCCTCCTGAGTAGCTGGGATTACAGGTGCCCACCACCATGCCCAGCTTTTTGTATTTTTAGTAGAGATGGGGTTTTGCCATATTGGCCAGGCTGGTTTCAAACTCCTAACCTCAAATGATCCACCCACCTCAGCCTCCCAAAGTTCTGGGATTACAGGCATGAGCCACCACGCCTGGCCTGAGCTGGACATCTTGACCGTTACTTAGGAGTCGGGATTGCCCCTCTTTTCTTTCCCACTCGTAGGCACCCATTCTCCTTGTGCCTGCTGCTTCAGCAGCCACCTCCCCCAGGTGAACAGTGGAGGAACACCATTATGTGTGAAACGCTTGTGATCCTCCTCACCAACATCAACATCAACATCCTTTTTGTTTTTCTTTTTTGAGACAGGGTTTCACTCTGTCACCCAGGGTGGGGTGCAGTTGGGCGATCACAGCTCACTGTAGCCTCAAACTACTGGCCTCAAGTGATCCTCGTACCTCTGCTTCCCAGGTAGCTGAGAACACAGGCACACGCCACCACGTCCAGCTAATTCCTGTAATTTCTGTAGGGGTTTCTCCATGTTGCCCAGGCTGGTCTCAAACTCTTGGGACTCAATTGATCCTCCTGCCTTGGCCTCCCAAAGTGCTGGGATTACAGGCGTGAGCCACTGCGCCTGGCCCCAGCATTCTTTTTAACAAACCCCCAGCCTTCTGTGATGCCCTAGTGTCTGTCAGAGGTTCTATCCTTAGTTCAATAAAAGATAAAAATGACATAAAATACAAATATAATACAAAGAAACACAACAGTGTCAGAGAGCACTGTGTGGATTATTCTGACGTCACAAAACACAGATTCTCAAAACAAATATCCTACTAATTTCTCCCCAGATCCATTTCCCCATAAAAGCCCACCCAACAAGGAAAAGCAATGGGAAAGCTGAGGGGAAACTCCTGGTTCTTGAATGCCTGCCAGGGGGAAGGCATGCGTTTTATTTATTTTTATTATTTATTCATTTATTTATTTATTCATTTTTTGAGATGGCATTTTGCCCTTGTTGCCCAGGCTGGAGTGCAATGGTGCAATCTTGGCTGACTGAAACCTCTGCCTCCCGGGTTCAAGTGATTCTCCTGCCTCGGCCTTTTAAGTAGCTGGGTTTACAGGTGCACGCCGCCATGCCTAGCTAATTTTTTTAGTTTTAGTAGAGACAGGGTTTCACCATGGTGGTCAGGCTGGTTTCGAACTCCTGACCTCAAGTGATCCACCCGCCTCAGCCTCCCAAAGTGGCTGGGATTACAGGCGTGAGCAACTACTCCTGGCCGGCATGTTTTATTTATTTATTATTTTTTAAATAAAGAGATGGGGTCTCCTTATGATGCCCGGGCTGATCTGGAACTCCTGGGCTCAAGGGATCCTCCCATCTCAGTCTCCCAAAGTGCTGGGATCATAGGCATGAGCCACTGCACCCTGCCAGGCACGGGATTGAAAAGTTCGTAGCTTGCTAAATATTAGAAACTATTAGCTGTAGATGAAGAAACGGGGGCTCTAAGAGTATTCTTATATCACTCAGTGGTACTAAGTGGCAGAGCTGGTATTTTACCATGCTTATTGCCTTCTTGAAAAAGGAGGCTGGGCGAGGTGGCTCACGCCTGTAATCCCAGTCAGAAGTTTGAGACCAGCCTGGCCAACATGGTGAAACCCCATCTCTACTAAAAATACAAAAATTAGCCGGGCATGATGATGTGCATCTGTAGTTCCAAGTACTCAGGAGGCTGAAGTGGGAGAATCATTTGAACCCAGGAGGCAGAGGTTGCAGTGAGCTGAGATCATACCATTGCACTCCAGCCTGGGCAACAAGAGCAAAACTCTGTCTCAAAAACAAACAAACAAACAAACAAATACATAAAAAGAAAGAGGTAACGTGCACTAAATTCTTTAAGAAGTCTCTAGGACCTACCATCTAGGAACCAGAACATCTAGGGTGCTTTCAGACCCTAACATCTAGCCCAGGACCTGGCACATTTTGTTGAACCGAACAGGCTGAGTGTCTTGGCATGACTCAGTTCGATACACAAAAGTAGGCTGCAGCGTTCCTTCCGGCTGTCATCAAAATTCAGAGCTTGGTGTGTGATGCCATCATCCTGGCTGAATTTGCCTCTGGATCCTAGGGCTTGGACCATCAAAGTGCTGTTGCCACAGAAGCCGTGGGACAGTAACTGGGTCTGCCCTTGCCCTTCACGGTTACCCTTTTCAGTAGCCCCCGCTGGAATTTTCCTTCTGGTGGTTTCTTAACCTCCACTTACTTCCCCTTTTTGTTTTGTCATCTGCAGAGCCTTCGGGGAGACCTCGGGGATTTCTTTGTTGGCTGCATCTTCATGGCAGAACTGAGCACTCCATTTGTGTCACTGGGCAGGGTTCTGATTCAGGCATGTATGAATGAAATGGCAGGAGTGTGGGAGGGAGTGGATTCTGCTTTTCCTTCAGAGATGGTAGGTGTGGAGAAATCCCTAATGCCAGGAGGAGTGGAATGGGAATCCTTCAACAGCCTTACAGGTCGGCTGGTCATCTCAGCCAATGGGGATGTAATTGTAGGTTTGATCTAAGTTTGATACAGTTCATTCTATCTTTTCCCTGGTCACATACTTCAATCCATGGTTTCTATACTCCTGTTAGCTGGGTGGCCTGGGTCAAATTCAACATCACTATTGGGGAAAATGAGGTTATCTGTACATATCAATATGACAGTGTTCAAGAATGTCTTCTCCAAGTGTTAGAAAACTAGACAAACATCTGGGCACCAGGGAATCTGACAGCCAAGGTCTTGATGAGCACCTGCACCTGCATGGCTTTCACTGTGGTGGGACTTGGGCCAGTCGCTCCCTGATGCCCAGCTTCTTAGAGACCTTACCTTTTTCCTTCCTCTTCTTTTGCAGCTAAAGCAGCAGCACACCCTTCTGTACAAGGTGAATGGAATCCTCACACTGGCCACCTTCTTTTGCTGTCGGATCCTTCTCTTCCCCTTCATGTACTGGTCCTATGGCCGCCAGCAGGGACTAAGCCTGCTCCAAGTACCCTTCAGCATCCCCTTCTACTGCAACATGGCCAATGCCTTCCTCATAGCTCCTCAGCTCTACTGGTTCTGTCTGCTGTGCAGGAAGGCAGTCCGGCTCTTTGACACTCCCCAAGCCAAAAAGGATGGCTAAATGCTCCTGGGAGTCGGGCGCAGCCTCACACCAGCTGCCTCCTGCACTCAGCATTCCATGGACCGAATTGTGCCCTGGGTGGCCTCAGACTTTTGGGTATTGATAAGCAGATGGATTTGAGTTTTTCTAAAGAATATTCGTATTACCTCCTTCTTCTAACTTGCCCTATTTGCAAAAGCACTTTTGTAGTAACAACTATTGAGTCCTGTCAGACCTCCACGGACAGCAAAGTGGTTTTAATGCAAGCCCAAGGATCCTTTGGGTCTTATCTCAAGAGCTCTGGGAGGTGGAAGCATGGGGTGTGATCGGTGGACCAGGGTGATAAGCGTCTGTGCATCTGCCTGTCCCTATATCGGCAGCTACCTACCTTTCCAACCACTCAGGGCAGTACCCACGGCACTGGGCCCACAGAAGCAAGTAATGTCTTCTTGTGACATTGGCCTGGGACAATCGCTGTGGGTAGGTAGTTTTTGATCGTTTACTAGATAACCCATTGGTTCTTTGCGTCATCCTCTCATCCATGGGTCAGAGTTGACTGACTTCCAATCAGAAGTCTCACTGGTGGGGCTGGGGGTGGGGGCAGGCAGGAGGCAAGGATGGGAGCCTGAATAGGTAGCGTGGCCAAGAGGCCAGCACAACCTCTGCAGGCTGACTTGGTAAGTCTGACAGTGTCACACTTGTGTGCTTACTGCAGTCAGTCACAGATACTGTTCTTTTTAACACACCCCTTCATGCCCAGCTTTCCCCATATCCACATGCAGAGGACATGCTCATAAAAACTACATGGGCAACATGAAATGAAGGCTCTGGTAGATGTTTACTGGGTAACCCCACTCTATGACACCGTCCTTTTCATGTGATGTGAAAACCAACTTCTGTACTCCAAACCACAAAATGTGTCATCTAGACTGCAGAATACTTGAGTACTCAGCCTCCTGATACGCCAGAGCTTGTGGTCCAAGGCCCATTCCTGTGTGAGTGTCCTGCCATTTAGCCACAGAAGGCTGCAGAGCGAGAGGGCAGCCAGCCTGGCCAGAGGCTGTCCTGTGGACCGACACCTGCGCCCCCTTCTGCAAGCAGGATTTTCTGGTGCCAACACTCATCATTCCCTATCAACTAGGATGGGTTCGAGACTGCTACCATGTGTTCTCAAGTGGTAGTTTAAAAAGTGGATTTTTAAAGTGCCTTTTAATTAGTTGTGAACGTCTAAAGGACTGAATGATCTGTCTAATTTTGACTGTTTAGTCTTTAATGGGTGCCATTTAAAGAACAAAACGCTTATTTTTTAATTGTCTTTTTTTTGTTTTTTAAACTATCAGTGTATCTTTAAGTCACCCTTATGGTGATTAAATTGCACTAACATTCCCAACTTATTCTCATTTGTGAAATACATCGATATCAGTTTCCTGCAAGAATCATCCTGTGACCCAACCTGACCGGCTGCTGTGTGCTGTACTCCACGTCTATGTCCATGTAACTAGCAGAGGGGTGTGTTGTGAGTGCTGTCAGCCTCCAGAAAGGTCTAGCTCACACCTTACTCAAACCTATTTGTGTGGTTCATGGTCTCAATAATACACTGAAGGTTCCCAGAGTTCAAGCGTATAGTGGTCACATGTAACTTGAGACCCTTTCTTCCTAAGAATTGGGAGAGTGGAAGCCCGATTATTGGTCAAGGAGCCAAGCCTACTTTACCTGAGGAGAGAACCTGAGTGATGCCCCACTGGGAAGGAGGGTGTGGATATGGAGGTAGTGATGGGACATACTCTTTTCCCCCTGTTCATCTCACACAATAAACATGTCCCCAGCCAATTCTGTTTCCTCATACCTCAAACACCTTAAACTCATTTTTTTTTTTCTTTTTGTAGAGACAGGTTATCTCGGTTGCCCAGGCTGGTCTCAAGCTCCTGGCAAGTGATCCTCCTGCCTCAGCCTCCCAAAGCACTGGGATTATTATAGGTGTGAGTGACCATGTCTAGCCCCCTCTCAATTTTTTTTTTTTTTTTTTTTTTTTGAGACAGGGTCTCACTCTGTCACCAAGGCTGGCATGCAGTGGTGTGATCTCAGCTTACTGCAGCCTCTACCTCCCAGGATCAAGTGATCCTCCTGCTTTAGCCTCCTGAGTAGCTGGGACTACAGCTGTGTGTCACCACACCCAGCTAATTTTTGTTTTTGTTTTTGTTTTTTTTTTTGAAGAGACAGGGCCTTCATATGTTGGCTGGTCTCAAGTGATCCTCCCACCTCAGCCTCCCAGTGTTGGGATTATAGGTGTGAGCCAACGCACCCGGCCCAAACTCATTTTTTACATTCCTGAACACGTCATTCCCTTATCCAAACCATTCATTCATCCAAACTTCGACAGCCCCTCCTAAGGCAGAAGCTAATGTGACTCATCCATTCAGCACATCTCCGCTGGGTTTGCCAGGTCTCGTCTTCACAGTAGCCCCTTTGCGGGTGACTGAATAGATGGAGTTAAGACTGTATGGGAGGTGAGTGGGAGTGCTTATTGTCCCAGCTACTCAGGAGGCTGAGGTGGGAGATCACTTGAGGCCAGGGGTTCAAAGCCAGCCTGAGCAACAGACTGTACATACTCCTCAATTCAGAGGGGACCCATTTTCTTGAGGTCATTAACCTAGCTCCTCGCTGCTGAGTTTATCTTGGTCCTCCAATCCTCTCACTTTAGAATTGTGCAGGCCTCTCGGGCACAGAATCTCATGGCAAGAGGCAGAACCAGGGCTGGACTGGATTATTTTCCAAGCTGCTGTCCTTTCCAAGATACCTCAAGAAAAAACATTAAAAGACGAAATAACTCTTGAAGGGGGTTATACGTACCCTGTACTGCTTTTTCCACTCACATGGTTTCAACTTTGGGCTTATTTGCCAAAATCTAGCATGGAAAAGTCCAGTTATGAACATGTTCCTCCTGGCTGCATTTGATCTTGAAGACACTAAACCCAATTTCAGAGCATACTTAATCCTGGGCTATTGCTGAGGCCGACTTAGAAGAGACAAAGTGAGATGCAAAAGAGGAGAATTTTTATGATAGTTTGTACGTTATAATACCCAACAAACTATTTTCTGTACACCATTATTGCCATGACTTTTTGGGGACAGTTTCACGTAACCGTCAAGTCCAGGCTGCTCGGGTCTGGCCTCTGCAGACCCGCCATGTTGAGGCCCAGCTTTTCCGCTCCCCCTATGCAGGTGAGAAGCTATTGATCTTCTGCAGACCCGCCATGTTGGGGCCCAGCTCCCCGCGCAGGTCAGAAGCTGTTCATCTTCTGCAACAGGGTTTGGCGCCGTTCTTCCGGGCTGATGCCCTCAGCAATGGACTTTAAGAAGCGCTGCTCGTGCGCCCTCTGGAGCAAGGAGCTGACAGAAGGGTTGGTCTTGCTCAGAGTCTCATAGCAGGTGAGGGTTTCCAAGGCTAAAACGTAGAGTGGCTCACAGACCTCCGGGTGGAGCATGGCCATGATATGCAGAGCATGGCAGAACACCTGGGTGTAAACGAACAGGGCTTCCTGGGTCAGGTCCTGCTCTGGTCCTTGGGCCCAAGGGCCAGCTGACTGTATCAGCCTGACTGAGTCCAGCAGGCGGGTCAGACTGCCACAGAGGAGTTTGACCACATGGTTCCAGCCCTCCAGAGGAAGCCAATTATGACAGCTCTGGCTGCAGAGAAACTGGAAAGTCCTCAGGAAGAGTACGGAGAGTTGCAGCTCCTGGGCAAACGGCTTCAGGTTGAGCAGGGGAACAAACTGAATATATTCCAGGCTATACGGGACATGGAGAAGCTGCTTCTCCAGCAGTCTCCTGGTCAGCTGGTGAAGGCGCTGCCACTCCTGAGGGCTGCACCAAGGCATGACTTGTACCAGGGCCACCAGAAAGCCTTTGCTGAACAGTCTGACCTCCTCAGGATTGCCCACGTCCACCACCAAGAGAGACAGCATCCTCTCTGAGATGCCACTGGAGACACAGGAGCACTCCATCCAGGCCAGGAGCCCCGTGCCGGCTCCATAGCCTGGGTGGGCCTGGGAGGTCCACTCGTCTTCCGAAAGCTTACAGATCTCAAAAAGTGTGGCTGGCACTTCACACTTGAAGTGCCCCTCAAAGAAGTTCTTCAGCCTCAGGCCCACAGTCCAGTCCAGCTGTTCTAACTTGTGGTGGAGCCAGGACAGGGACCTGATCCAGGCGTCCGGGGAGAAGGTCTCGGCATTGGCTGATACGATTTCACACAGGAGCTCCAGGATATGGATTGCCAGATCCTTCCTATCCAAAGAGAGGCACCGCTTCTCCTTGGGGAGCTGCCAGTATTTGCTGAAGCCGTCCAAGAGCTGGCACAAGCTGAAGAGGAGTGGAAACGGGGAGCAGGTCTGGAGCCAGTACTCCTCTCGGCACGTGTCTGCTTCTAGAGTCTGGATGAAGATCTTCAGACTGAGGTCTACTTCTTCAACATCTAACCTCAAGAAAGGCAGGACAAACTCCCTCAGCACCTCCTCTGGCTCAAGAAGAGCAGCTACTGGAATCCCCTGGGGCTTCACGGGATGCATCAGGCAGTTCAGGAGCTCTAAAAATTGCTTTTCTTCCTTGGGTGTAGAGAACTTCATCCAGACGGTTTCTTTGAGGCATGACACCATGAACGTGGCAGATGAATTGGGACTCTGCTCTTCCACGAACCGAAGGGCAGGGAAGGCAGTGAGAATCTGGGCCAGGAACTTGTGGGCGCCAAGATTGACCACAGCCAGGCTGCACATTTTCTTCACCGTGACTTCCGGGTGCACTACGATCAGGCGGGCCACGGAGGCCACAGCTTTTGCCAAGCCCTGTTCGGAGGCACTCTGAGTGAGCTGGTTAAAAGTCGTATTGAGGTCTTCCTGAAAACCTTCCACATAAGCCAGCAACTTTTCAGAGAGGCCCTTTCGCCCCCAGGAATGCAGGATACCTGCAAGGACTTTATTTTTATCTGGCAGGGAGAGGTCTGCGTAACATTCCAGGACCAGGTGGATCACCTGCCGGATCTGAGACTCGGGGATGGCCCTGTCAGTTGTGCTGACGTCTATCACTGTTTCCAGCAGCCTCAACACCAAGTCTGGCTCTCGGAAGAGGGCCCTGTTACTCCCCAGGCAGGCTACCCACTCCTCCGAGAAGGCCCACTTCTTCTCAGAAGCAAAAATGTGGCACACTTCCATATGACGGTCCATCTTCTGCTGGATGACGGCCATGGCGATGGAAGCTGTGATGTCCTCCAAGGCCGTGTTCTTCAGCACCGTGCTCGTTTTCCTCAGGAAGTCCCTGACACACTCCGCCAGCTCAGAAACCACCTGCCTCTCCTCCTTGGACAGGCTGGTGCGGTTCAGGTAGAGCGTTGCGTTCTGGCTGAAGGAAGTCAGACTGTCGCATAGCCTGTAGCTGTCATAACTTGTCCCCTGGCTGCTGCGGAGCATGGCCTGCAGCTCCTCCCCCCACTCCCGCAGCAGGCGGTGCAGGAACTCGCAGCCCACGAAAATGGTCTCACTGGGGAGTTTGGCCAGTGAGGTCAGGCTGACATCCCGTTCTGCCTCCTTCACCTTCTCTGCCAGCGCCTGCTGGTGGTAGGGGTTCTGGGTGTCCGAGTTCCACACGGAGATCACAGTGGCCAGTTTGTCCAGATACATGGTTGCAGACACCTCCTGGGGGTCGTCCTCCATCAGCGCAAACACGGTCAGCATGTCGGCCAGGTTGGCCAGCGCACAGCACCTTCTCCCCGGGCCCAGGATCTGACTTTGGATCTGCGTCAGCCCGCGGAGCAGCATGGCCAACAGGGGCATGGTGGGGCACACGTCTGGGTCTGACCTAAGCCTCTTTGGAGGATGGGGGAACTCATCTAAGGCAGGCAGGTACTTATGGGCCATTGCACTAAACTGGGAGAGCAGGGGGTCCTGCGGGTGACCCTTGTGCTTCATCATCTCCCACCAGACGTCCAGGAAGAAGGCCACGTCTTCAGAAGAAGTGTCTACGGTCACGTGCTCCAGAAAGCGCTCTAGTTCTGCATGGCGGATGGTGGTGGGCAGGGCCATCAGGAGCTGGATAAAGAGTCCAGAAGCTTCCAGGGATTTGAGCAGCTCAAAGAGGACAGTGTGGTTGATGGTGGGGATCATGTTGCCCACCGAGAAGAACAGGTCTTCCTGCCACCGTGTCTCTGTGTCGGAGGGGGTCACGGGGTGCGGCTGCAGAACCTTGGCCCAGATGATAATCAGGGCTTTCTTCTTCCAGGCAAAGGGCTGGGAGTGTGCCGCGGCCGACGAGATCTCCCTTAAGGCCTCCACGATGGGGCGTCCAACATGTTCCCAGTCAGACTTTGTCAATTCTGCCAGTGCCTTGGGGCGGAACAGCTGCTCGGCCAGCAAGAAGCCTCCATGCAGAATAGTCATTTCTTCACAGATGTTCAAGGGCCCTGCACGTAGACAAGCCAAATAAGACAGTGTAGTGAAAATGTTTCCAGATGGCCACTGCTGTTAGTAGGTGGTCATGGTTAGAGATGACAAGGGTTTTAAATGACATCAGCGGAAGGGGAGAAGGGATGGCTACAAGAGCCACTGCAGAGCTGGAGTCAGAAGGACCTGGCCGAGGAATCCAGAATGGCTTCCGAGCTCTCCAGCCTGGGAACCGGGTGGCGTCACATATAGGGAATGCTGGAGAATCAGAACAGGTGTGAGGAAAGATGAGTTCAGCTTTGGTTATCAAGGTACAGACGTCCTCCAGCAATGGAAATGCCGGGTGGAAGTTCAGGAGGGAAGTCAGCTGGGAAATGTGATTCTGAGAGTTATCTGCCCAGAGGGATCACTGGAACCAAGACGTGAATGAGATCCTTCAGGAAAAGTGTGTGAAAAGAAAAAGCTGGGCTGCTGAGGCCACACCCTCCAGCAAAGGGTGGGCCAGCAGAGGATGTGGGGAGAGGGGTTTAGAAATAGCAGGAAGGCAAACTACAGGGGCCACTGAGCATGTACCACAGGACATGACAGCTGAGCTTCTCATGACAGATGAAGGGGGCATAGCCACAGGGTAATGGGCACACAAGCAATCACACAGTCACAGGGTAATGGGCACAGAAGCAATCACACAGCCACAGGGTAATGGGCACAGAAGCAATCACACAGCCACAGGGTAATGGGCACAGAAGCAATCACACAGTCACAGGGTAATGGGCACAGAAGCAATCACACAGCCACAGGGTAATGGGCACAGAAGCAATCACACAGCCACAGGGTAATGGGCACAGAAGCAGTCATACAGCCACAGAATAACAGGCACAGAAGCAATCACACAGCCACAGGGTAATGGGCACAGAAGCAATCACACAGCCACAGGGTAATGGGCACAGAAGCAATCACACAGCCACAGGGTAATGGGCACAGAAGCAATCACACAGCCACAGAATAACAGGCACAGAAGCAATCACACAGCCACAGGGTAATGGGCACAGAAGCAGTCATACAGCCACAGGGTAATGGGCACAGAAGCAGTCATACAGCCACAGGGTAAAGGGCACAGAGCAATCACACAGCCACAGGGTAACGGGCACAGAAGCAATCACACAGCCACAGAGTAAGGGGCACACAAGCAATCAGACAGCCACAGTGTAACGGACACACAGCAATCACACAGCCACAGGGTAATGGGCACAGAGCAATCACACAGCCACAGGGTAATGGGCACAGAAGGAATCAGACAAGCCCTGCCTTCACCCTTTACAACCTTGCCTTGGGAACAGGCTTCAAACATTCTTCTACCTTTCAGGGAAACAGTCCACCCCACAGCTCCTTCTGGTCAAAAACAAGCTACTCATGGCCCTGCTCTGTGGGAGAAACCAGGGAGTAGATACAGAAAATACTGTGCTAGATTAAGCCTTCCTTCAGGGAACTAACGATTGACACAGACTTACCATGGAAAGCATCTTGGGATGTTTAATCAGACATGGGTTTAAATCCTAGCTCAGCCATTTAAAAACAATGTGATTCTGGCCAGGTTCAGTGGCTAGCACTTGTAATCCCAGCTACTTGGGGGGGGCTGAGGCAGGTGGATCCCTGAGGCCAGGAGTTCAAGACTAGCTGGGGTAACATAATGAGACACCCCTCCATCTCCAAAAAAAAAAAAAAGGATGTGATCTTGGTCAAGTTCCTTCTCCAAGCCTCCCTTCTGCATATGTGGGGATAATACAGACTTCATGTTATAACTTTGAGGATCATGTGATATATACCAGTCAAGCCCTTTCTAGTGGGTTGGTATTGCTATCTCCTGACCCCATCTCCCCGGGACGCTATGATAGATAAATACAGCTATAATAAGAATCAGGTTACAGAGTGTAGTTAGGTGCTCAGTAAATGTTGGTTTCCCCAAACCTTTTCATAGTTGGCAGGACCAGAATCTTGTCACTATTCTTTGCCTCCCCCAGCTCAGAAACATCAAAGGATGTAGGCCTTTATCAGGCATGTTTCCTTTGGCCTAGAAACTAAAACGAGGGTACAAATACTGCTTCCTATTCCTCATTCCTGAGTCCTCTCCCCTCTCCTAGGATTGAGAGATGCTACTCCTTCCTCAGTCTCTCATGCCCACGAGAGCTCATATTCCCCATTTTCCCAGGCCAGACACCAGCAGAGAAAACACTGACTCCAGGAAACTAAGGACCATCTTACCCTTCCCACTATTTATGAGAGCAGCAGCAGGACAAGGGTTCAGCACTATGTAACTCACTTGTGGAGGCAATCCATCTCAGCTCACAGTGGCTGAGTCTGACTCCTAGGGAAGGTCAGGCTGCAGAGGGGACCTCTCTGGGGGTTACGGCCCTTCTTTCTCGCTCAGGAGGCTCTCCCAGGGTCCCAAAATATGGTCCCTCCTGACGCGGTAAATTTTATTTTATTCCATTATTGGATTAGCTGAGCAGATGTTTGGCCCTCAACACCTGCCTTCCAGGCGCAGTAAGTACCCACAGTTTGAAGTAGCAAGTCCCAGGGCAGTTACTAGCTGGAAAATACTCCGGTGCTTCATCACGGATGGTTAACTAGTGCTTGCCAGAGCCCGCTTCTAAGATTTATTATGCGCCTACTCCACGCCAGACACGGTGCTAGGTGGTGCACATGTAAGATCTCTTCGATTCACAACCACCTTTTGAGGACTATTATTCCCGTTTTAGAGAAGAGGACACTGAGGCGCAGAAACGATTTGCTGAGGGTGCCCCCGCCTGAATGTGGTGGGGCTGGGAAGCAATTACGGCTGAGGGGCTCCAAGCCCTAAGAGCTCTGCCATTCCGCTCCTGAAGAGCTCTCTGGGGGCGGGGAACAGACCATTTCCCCCCAGCCTCCTACTGCTGACACATCTCGGGGTGCCTCACCCGCAGCTCTCCCAGAACAGCCTCCTGGTCTTAGCAGCCTGTGTCGAGGCTTAGCAGGGAGCTCCTAGTTCCAGGGTTCCCCCTCTCCCAGACCTTGCAAGATTCTGAATCAGGACGCACGCACGTTCAGAAAGTGACGCCTCAGGAACACAGCCGCCCCAACCGCGGTGTGACCCGCGCAGCCCCGCACGGGGCACTGTACCTCGGCGATCTCCACGAGAAGTCGCCCAACACTCAGTGGGGAGACACACTGCCATTCTCCCAGCTCTGTCCATGAGGAAACCTGATGAGCGTAAGACACTTGGAGCGTAAGACGCTTGCTCAAGAACGCAGTTGCCGTTCAGGAAACGAGGCCGCCGGGGCACCCGGGGGTGCTCGGAGAAAGCCCGTTTCTCAAAGCACGTGCGCGAGCCCCGGGCCCCGGGCGTTTCCAGGGGCTCTCACTTTACGTCTGCTCGGTGTTTTCCCGCGGAGTGGGCAAGACACGGCCCAACGCGCAGCGGGACCCGGACCACCCCCGTCAAGGCCACCCGGGGACCCCCAGACCCGCCCCGACGCGGGGGACGTTTTGGCCCGGGCCCGCGCGAGCGTGCGCGGCAGGAGGAGACGCGACGGGGCGGCACCGTCCCGGTGGCGCATTGCGGGACGCAGCCCGGGGCTGAGGAGACGCTGCACCCACCTAGGTCCATGGCGGCAACGCCGGCGGCTGCGCGGGGCTAACGCCCCCTCTACTCCGAGAACGCGAACGCGGCGCGGGACGCACAGCACAATGGACCGCGCAGGCGCCACGGCGGCGGCGCTCAGGCCCCGCCCACAGTCTCCCCCGCGCACGCGCAGTCCTCACGAACGAGCGCGCCAAGCGCACAGCGCCGCCTTCCGGCAGAGGCCTCCCTCCCACCCACCCTCAGGTACCGGGCGTCGCTCCCCAGACCCCTCGCACCGTCCCCTGCCCGGGCCCGCTTCCGGGGTCTCAGCGGGTGCGGCTCACGAGTCCCCGGCCCCGCATTCACCCTCACCCGGTAACCCCGGGCGTGCCCCGCACACAGCTCACCCCCACCGAGCGCCTCCCGCGGGCCGCCCACTACCCAGCGCGGCCGCACCGCGCGAGGCTTCCACTCCCACGCGTCCAGCCCGCCCCCCACACAGTCCCTCAACGCGCTCCTGCCGCGCGGCGCCGCCCCCTTCAGACAGCAGCGGCCCGGATCCTAGACGCTTTTGACGGCTGGTCCTCCCCAGAAAATGCACCGTGTGCGCCCAAACGTGGTGGGGTGGCGCCAGTACGCGGGACCCCGAGCTTGCAGCCTGTGCTTGAGAAAACACAAACATCGTGTGCCTGCCTGCGCCCCTGAGATCGAGTAGTAACCGCCATTCAACTCTCCACCTCCAGCTTCTAGCACCGGGCACCGCCTCCACCCCCTCATGTGCCAAGTGGAGTTCGAGCTGGCGCGCGCGGCCCTCAAGCAGCTGAAGGGTCCTGTGAGCGATCCGGAGAAGCTGCTGATCTACGGCCTCTACAAACAGGCCACCCAGGGCGACTGCGGCATCCCCGCCCCTCCGGCCTCAGACGGGAAAGCCAGGGCCAAGTGGGAGGCTTGGAGCGCGAACAAAGGGGTGTCCAAGATGGACGCCATGAGGAGCTACGCGGCCAAAGTGGAGGAGCTGAAGAAGAAGGAAGTGGGGGGCATGGAGCGCAAACAAAGGGGTGTCCAAGATGGACGCCGTGAGGAGCTAGGCGGCCAGAGTGAGGAGCTGAAGAAGGAAGTGGGGGGCACGGAGCGCGAACAAAGGGGTGTCCAAGATGGACGCCATGAGGGGCTACGCGGCCAGAGTGAGGAGGTGAAGAAGAAGGAGGCTGGCTGAGGGCTCCTCGGGAATGGAAAGGGCTTCTTAGACCTTGATGGCTGAAACGTCCTGAAACTGTCGCAAGCTTAGCCGAGACATCAATAAATCACTTAAACTGCGTGAGAGTGACCGACTGCTGTTGGAACAGAGGAACTGGAGGAACTCGGTGACTGAGTGCTGGGGAGGCGTCCAAATACACAGACTGGCTTTTTGTATGGTTTTGGGTGGAGTTCCCAGCCCTCCTATTACAAGGGCGTATGTAGGTATTTGGCAGGAGAGAGGGGGACTGTGCTGTGGAAATGCCCAAGATCTGAGGGCAGGAGACCATTCTCCAGTGACGGCCTCTTGGGAGGCTGAGGCCCCAGCCCCTTCTCTCTTCAAGGCGGATTCACTAATACCCCAACACCACAAAGGGGAGCGGGACTCTGTCCTAAACACTAAAGTCCAAAAGCCCCCACTGGAACATGGGGCCTACTAAGTTCATGTTTTGAGGGAGACCAAGCTTTCCGTGATGATAATGCGGTGACACAATTGATGGGTCAGAACACAGCAGCTGAGAAACAATGGAGCAGATTGGTGTCAAAATCCCAGCCCCAGAAAGGCTCACCTAAGGCTGGGCAACCCACATGTTCTCGGGACTGTTTTGTACTTAACCCTGGTTTCTGCTTAGGGGATGTTGGTGGGACAATATGCATATGGATGTGTATGTTGGATTTGCTGCAAGAGCACAACACACCCCTTGACCTATGCAAGTGCCAGAGTGTCTGAACCCAGCTTCTACTCCTGTTAATGATCACGGGGGCCTCAATGCACAACCATTGTGCATGGCAGCTGGAGTATGGAATAGTGAATGGTATCCAGAGAGGCAGGTCTACAGTGGCATATGGGATTTCCTGGTACTTCTTCCTTAATAGAAAGTATTTTCACATATCATGGCATCAGGTCAGCTCCAGTTCTCATTGGGACCAATAAAACAATAGGAGCAACAACCATAAAGACTTAAGAGGACAAAGGAAACAAACCTCACTGTGTGTCTTCAAGATCTGTTCACACAGTTGCAGGAAGTTGCTATAGACAAAGTACATTACTAAAAAATGAAGCCCACCCAGGACATCACAGCGACGAAAGTATTATTTCTGGTAACTGGACGAGGCGAGAGCCACACTGGAGAAGAGCAGTGCTGCCCTCTCTTCTTTGGTGAATGTTATGAAGACGTTCTGATGCACTTAGGATCGTGGTTCATGTTAAATGTAAATAGTAAAAATAATACATCTTGTTCCAAAATGTGGTGACAATTTAGAAGCTGTCTATATAGCCAGAACACTGTAAATCACAGAACCTAGAAAGTAAAAATGTGCCATAATTAGGACAGCAGAAAGTAACAGTAAGATAAAGTTTTTAAAAAGAGAGAAAATAAGGATTTATCTAGTTGTATTTGCTTACGAAGGGGTTACCTATAGGACGCAGGGGAAATGGGATTGATGGGCATGGGGTATACTGTGAAAGGAAAATAAAATCTTGGGACCAAATTCACTAAGCCAAAGGGAAAAGTTAAGCTTGGAAATTGAGTCATGGAACATGCAAAAAACTTTTCCTTTTGTTCCTAAATAGATAAGCTACAAGACAGAAGGCCACATATCTCCCCAGGTGGTCTCCCTCACCCGACAATATAAATTAACAGCTTATCTTCATAGGAAAGGGACAAAGACAACACCAGAAACCATCCCCCACCAGCCCTGAGACAAAACGTAGATGTACTGAGCTGAATGCCTAACTGTTCTTCTGCTCGCTGCTTTCACTGTAACATGTAGATCTGGTGAGCGCTAAATATAGATTTACTGAGCTGAATGCATAACTGACTGTTCCTCTGCCTGCTCCTTTCACTGTAACACATAGATTTGGTGAGCGCTAAATGTAGATTCACTTAGCTGAATGCATAACTTCGTCTGCCTGCTCCTTTCACTGTAACATGTAGATTTGGTGAGTGCTAAATGCAGATTCACTGAGTTGAACGCATAACTGTTCCTCTGCCCACTGCTTTCACTGTAACACATAGATTTGGTGAGTGCTAAATGTAGATTCGCTGAGCTGAATGCATAAATGACTCTTCCTCTGCCCGCTCCTTTCACTGTAACACATAGATTTGGTGAGCGCTAAATGTATTCACTGAGCTGAATGCATAACTGTTCCTCTGCCTGCTCCTTTCACTGTAACATGTAGATTTAGTGAGTGCTAAATGTAGATTCACTGAGTTGAATGCATAACTGTTCCTCTGCCCACTCCTTTCACTGTAACATGTAGATTTGGTGAGCGCTACATGTAGATTCACTGAGCTGAATGCATAACTGTTCCTCTACCCCCTCCTTTCACTATGACATGTAGATTTGGTGGGCACTAATCAAAGCCTCACAAGAATGTAACCACTTATCTCCCTACCTACCCTCCTTTATTTTTCCTTTCCCTCTTCCCTCCCTTCCTGCTCTTTCCCTTTTAAATACTTGTTAGGAATAACACTCAAAATCCTAAGGAAATTGAACACTTAAACAAAGGATTCTTAGCAAAGCAATTTTACTTCTGCGCAGAGGGGTGCCTCGTTGGCCAGTTGCCATGAGAGCACACCTGAACAAAGGGGCACGAAAGCCTTTATTCCTGACACAAGTCCTGCCCCTGTACCTTTTTCCATTGGCCGGGGTCGGGTCGTACAATCTAAACTAATCCCACTTGGCTAAACACTTGATTTTTTTAGATAGGGTGGGCACGTAAAAGAAAGTGGAGAGGAAAGGGAAGGGGTGTCTGTAATGAGCTAGAAAGTTAGTCCTCTTTCCAAATAAGGAAAGGAATGTGAGCTGGCACTGATAACACTTGGTACTGTGGCGTGCCTGGGCATCTAACAAAGGAAAAAAGGATAAAAAAGGGGGGGAACTAAGAATTAAAGAATAAAATATTGATCAGATTATTTGAAGAGAAACCTCATCATATCCCACTTACTAAAGCCCTAAAAATCTTCTTTGGAAAGAGTGCAGGCCACAGATCTGTGGTTGTGCCTCCTTCTCAGGCACATCCTCAACCTTGGCAAAATAAACCTCTAAATGGGCAAGACTTGTCTCAGACACTTATCTGGTTTAAAATACCTTTTCATATTGTTTTGATTTTTGAACCATGTGACTCTATTGCTTTATATAAAGAGGATGAAGCAAGGGCACTTCTTTATTGATCATTAAAGTCAGAGTAAATTTACTATTGATTTCGCCTAAGGTAAGGGTAAGAACTCTTAGAACAAACAGGGAAACTTCTCAACTCTTGCCCCGAATTTCAACAGACACATTGGAGGTCTCCGGAAAACTCTGGCTGCTAAATCACAGCGGCACTGAGTGGCAGGTGAGATAGCCAGAAAGTCACATGAAGGAGCACTGAACGTCCCTGGGTTTGTTAATTCCGGTAACATGTCAGATGGACAGGGACTTCAGACACTCCTGCAGGCTAACTAGGAGAGCTCCGGCAACACGGCCATTCTAAATCTTTCTGGATATTTAACTCAAGGTACACTTGTATTTACATGTAGGCTCCGTAATCCCCCAATTCAAAAAAACAACTCTGGAGAAGCTGAAGAACTTTCCAGCTTCATCTGTTTAAAACACCACTTGCAGCCTGAGCAACACAGTGAGAGTGTCTCCACAAAAAATCAAACAATTAGCTGGGTGTGGTGGCACGTGGCTGTGGTCCCAGCTATTCAGGAGGCTGAGGTGGGAGGATCTCTTGAGCCTGAGAGGTCAAGGCTGCAGAGAGCCATGATGAAGCCACTGCATTCCACCCTGGGTGACAGAGCAATGTCTCAAAACCAGAAACAAAACACCAGCTTGGGCAAAGCTATCTTTCTTATATCCTCATTTTCTAATTGATCATATCCCCCAGATGTGGGAAAGTAATAACTTTAGTTTAAAATTAGTTTTTGCAGATCTAATGAATATCTAAATAATATACATATATTTTTGAACAGAGTCTTGTCTTGGTTCCCCAGGCTGGGAGTGCAATGGTGTGATCTCGGCTCACCACAACTCCACTTCCCGGGTTCAAGGGATTCTCCTGCCTTGGCCTCCGAGTAGCTGGATTACAGGCGTGCGCCACCACACCTAATTTTGTTTTTTAGTAGAGATGGGGTTTCTCCATGTTTCTCAGGCTGGTCTCGAGTCCCATCTAATTTTGTACTTTTAGTAGAGATGGGGTTTCTCACGTTGGTCAGGCTGGTCTCGAGCTCCCAACCTCAGGTGATTCCACCTGCCTGAGCCTCCCAAAGTGCTGGAATTACAGGCATGAGCACTGCACCTGGCCTAAATATAATTTTTAAAAATTACTGTTTTTGGTTAGATTACTTAGCTGAACTGTGCAGAGCAAGCTTCTGGATTCCTTGATAAAAAGCCAAAGTTGTACACTCGAGGGCTTTAGGATGAATAAAATGTTCTTAAAAAAACACAACAGGACGAGGCAGGCTGATCACCTGAGGTCAGAAGTTCAAGACGCCTGACGAACATGGAGAAACCCCGTCTCTACTAAAATACAAAAATTAGCCAGGCGTCGGTGGCACATGCCTGTAATCCCAGCTACTCATGAGGCTGAGGCAGGAGAATCGCTTGAACCCAGGAGGCGGAGGTTGCAGTGACCGGAGGTTGTGCCACTGCACTCCAGCCTGGGGTGACGAGTGAAACTCTGTCTCAAAAATAAACAAAAACAAAAACAAAATGCAACAACGCAAAAGACATGACAAGCGATGAAATAAATAAAAGGAGGCAGATCTCCTAAGCGAAAATGTCCCGTGCAGACACACAGCGTTATCTTCCACCCTGCATGGTGCCCACTATCATGCACAGTTGTATATTTAGGAGAAAAATGTTTTGGTACGCAAAATACAAGAAGCAGATAAAGGGAAACCAGTGTATGTTATTCAGTCATTCAGTACTTACACAAATCACTTATTTTACTCACAACAAAACTTCGAGGGGCCACATTATAGCGGTCCAATACACTGGGAAAAGGCGTTTCTTTTCACGAGGACAATATTACTAGAGATGAACATTAAAAATTACTTAATCTAATAGGAAATAGGAAAATTACATACATTCTAAAGAGAAGCAGAGTGTGATCTGGTTATTCAAAGTTCATATACATAATTCCAATGATAAAAAAAAAAGCTGGGCACGGTGGCTCACGCCTGTTAATCCCAGCACTTTGGGAGGCTGAGGGTGGGTGGATCACCTGAGGTCGGGAGTTCGAGACCAGCCTAACCAACGTGGAGAAACCCGTCTCTACTAAAAATACAAAATTAACCAGACGTGGCAGTGCATGTCTGTAGTCCAGCTACTTGGGAGGCTGAGGGCAGGAGAATCGCTCAAACTCAGGAGGCGGAGGTTGCATGAGTGCAAGATTGCGCCATTGCACTGCAGCCTGGGCAACAAGAGTGAAACTCTGTTTCAAAAAAAAAAAAACAATTACTAGAGGAAGGGGCATATTACTTGGTTTGCTTTGAAACTCAAGATTGCTTCCCAGGATACAGAATTTAAGCTGAATGAAAAGCTGAAGAGCTGGATGATAATTTCTTTCTCTCAGTGAAGGTATAATAGTATCACACCTATAAGAGATAAGCTGAAACGCAACCAAAATTTCCATGCCCCGCGCCCTGCCAGTAAGGGAGGACAGCAGAGGTTATGATTTACAAGTAATTCTATGTATGTTCTTTTGGAACCAGGATCCTCTGAGTCAATTCCTTCCAATCTCCTAAGTTTATTTTTAAAAATCCGAACTGGCCACCACTTTAAATGATGAGACTTTAGGGACTGGTGTAACAGCTTGATTTTGGAAGTTTACTTTAAAAAAAAAATTTAATTATTCGATGAATACACAATATAATTCCATTTCAAGTGACTAAAACCTATTTATTATATAGAACCAAACAAAACTCCAAGAAAACATTTTTAAAACTTTTTTTTCAGGCTGAAGAAATTGTTTAATCCATTTTAAGGAAATCTCACACGATGTTCTGTCAGGATTAAAAATATACACAGAAAAAAATAAAACAAAAAAATATGTATATACAAAAAGAAACTTGCACAGAGCCAGGTGTGCAGCAACGTCACACACTCATTCCTTTCTGTTTCCTCTGGATGCTCAAAATGTAAAAGCAAGTAAGATGGGGATGGTTAACCAAAACTTTTGGTCCAAGGAATAAAATTTCTTTAGAAAATTTAAAATGTCAAAACCCGCCAGAAGATAGCAGAACAGCCTATCATTATCAGGGGCTGGGAATGGCACCATGACAAGCCATTAATTTGGACTGACTTGAACAGCTGCTCTCATAAAATCTGCATGATTCAGAGTTAACCCTAACCATCTGCAATCCCAACCAAAGTCATGTTTCATGCCGCTGTCCTAGTCTGGACAATCATTTGTCACTAATCGAACACAGTTATATACAGAATGTGCAGTCCCAGCAACACTGTAGATTATAGCAGGCGTTCTCTACCTGCACTCATGATTGGATTTCATTTCTAAAATACATCAGACCTTTCAAAGGTTGAAATACACAGATCTGCACTACCCAAGCCTCCTTGCCTGTAGGGGAAACAAATCGGAAGAACATTTATCGGGAACTGACACGTCAGGCCTCACAGGTGCTGGGCAGGAATCACAGAGGCTTGCTCTGCATCACGTCTTCCATTAACCTGAAGCTTTGGGTTTATTGTGTTTAGCAAACCACTCGTCACTTTTATCTGCTGCCATTGCCTGTAAAATAGAAAGAGAATAAACACTGACTCCAAGTCTGAAAAACAAAAGATACCTTTATACCTCACTGTACTGACCATAATAAAAAAATTAACATTAAAAAAAAGACCCAACCCGCCGCTCCAAAAAAAAAGAAAAGAGAAATAAAATTTTTTGTTAATATTTAAAGAGTATTAATCCAGTACAGAGTATTATGTTCAATGAGGCAAGAGATACTGGTGAGTAATGAGCCACTGTGGACCCTCACTCTGCCAAGTCAAGGGCAAAGCCTGTAGCCAGGAAGTGTGGCTGGAGGACCAACTAGACCAGGGACCCGCATGCCAGGCAGTAGGATCTCTGGTAAAAGAGAAAGTGCTGCCTCTCTACTCACAGCATCTGGGCAGATACTCAGGAATCTTTAGTATCACGAAACTCAGTCTGATAGTGAGGTCAAACATGAAACTCTTATGTGATGTTTTAGTAATGAAGCCTGGAATGATTCCTTTTTCATAAGTCTCCTCCCAGCCTACTCTTCTGATGCTGGTTCTGTTTAGTTTGGGCATCTCAATTAAAAAGGAAGCCTTGAGCCGTGCCCACTGGTCACACCTATAGTCACAGCCACTTGGAGGCTGAGGCCAGAGGATCACTTGAGTTCAGGAATTCGAGTTCAGCCTGGGTAACAGAGTGAGACCCTGTCTCATATATATACATAAAGATACAAATAAAAATACATAAATAAGTAGAAAGCCTTAACAATAATGTTTTGGTTCCACAAGCATCCCTTTAGTTGTTTAGCAAGAACAAACATTCATTTACTTAGTCAAAAAGAGCTACGTACCATGCTGGGTTCAGGGGTGTCAGCAGAGACAGCTGGAAGCTTCGAGGAGTGTACAGAACAGCTGAGAACTCAGATATGGAAACAAGTATTTTGCATGACAGAGTGTGTGTACGCATGTGTGTGTCTTGAAGCATTTGCTATATCTACCTCAGCAGGAAGTCACAAGATGAGTGGGCAATTGAAAATGAAGAAACAAATATATTTATTACTTAGAAACAGTGAAGGTGAAAGTGGTTGTCCTAGGAAGTGTAACTCAGAGATGGACCGTTTCATTTCTAAAATATCTTAGTACTATCTGATTTATTATCTTGATGAAAGTATTTAAAAATCAAAGATATGCTTTAAAAAACCACAGCTCACAAATATGCACGTTTCTGTCTTTTAGGAGCCATAAAAAAAGTGGGAGGCAAGAACTACTAAATGATTTGGAGAACCTAAGAAAGCTTTTTTTTTGAGACGAAGTTTCGGTCTTGTCACCCAGGCTGGAGTGCAATGGTGCAATCTCGGCTCACTGCAACCTCCGCCTTCTGGGTTTAAGCGATTCTCCTGCCTCAGCCTCCCAAGTAGCTGGGATTACAGGCATATGCCACCATGCCCGGCTAATTTTTTGTATTTAGTAGACACAGGATTTCACCACGTTGGTCAGGCTGGTCTGGGACCCCTGACCTCAGGTGAGCCACCTGCCTTGGTCCCCCAAAGTGCTGGGATTACAGGCATGAGTCACCATGCCCGGCCGAACCTAAGAAAGCTTTTAAGTGTTGAAGTACAATGAAAAGAGGAGAGGGGAAAAACCCTTTGGGTTGGATGCAAGAAGATGTATCTTAGCTAATGTAACAGTTCAGTGGGACTGGAATGGGGATGGGTTAGGGGACTTAGGGAGGGAGGTAGGACAGAAGGTCAGAGGGTAGAGAATGTCCAAATATGTCACATGCTCTGTCAGAGAGTTTGAAATTTATCTCAGAGGCAAGAGAGAGCTATCAGATTAAACAGTTTTAAAAATTACTGGATGTTTGCTTTGGTACAGACCGTAAGGTGACAATGAGGCCTTTCAAAGGGAAAGTTGAAAGGCAGAAGAAATTTCAGAGGTAGAACTCACAGGTTGGTGACTAATAGCTAAAATAATTTAAGGATGAGGAGAAATAATGTTCAAAAGTGACTGTCTGTAAATCTAAAACGTCTATTAAACGTTAAAAAACAAAACACAACAAAATAACACCAAAACCGGCTCTGAGGGTTCCAGCGTGAATAATCAGGATCACAGATACGCTGTCCTGTCCAGGGAGGGAGCAGGGCACAGAGGAAGAAAAAGGACTGACTGTAAAGCCTGAAAGGCATCAGTCCAGGCCCTGCCTGCTCTTACTCAGTGTGTGGTCCTCAGGGGTGAGGGGGAATGACTTCATCACCATCCAAGCCCTTACCTGCCACATACTCAGTGTATGATATTCAAGGGTGAGGGCCAATGACTTAATCATCCTTACTCTCGGTTTCCTCATTTGCAAAGGCTGATGCTGTCAACCTTGCAGGTTATGGTACGAATCAGAGAATGTATACAAAGCACTTAAGGCTGAGTGCGGTGGCTCACGCCTGTAATCCCAGCCCTTTGGGAGGTCGAGGCGGGCGGATCACCTGAGGTCAGGAGTTCAAGACCAGCCTGACCAACATTGTGAAACCCCATCTCTACTAAAAATACAAAAATTAACCAGGCGTGGTGGTGCGTGCCTGTAATCCCAGCTACCAGTTACTCAGGAGGCTGAGGCAGGAGAATTGCTTGAATCTGGGAGGCAGAGGTTGCAGTGAGCTGAGATTGTATCACTGCACTCCACCCTGGGCGACCGAGCAAGACTCCGTCTCAAAAAAAAAGAAAAAGAAAATGTCAGGATCGCCAGGGAGCAAGAGTTCATCAGTGCTATGGAAGAGTGAGCAGAGGCTGCGTGTGCTGGCTCACATCTATACTCCCAGCACTTTGGGAGGCCAAGATGGATCAATCGATTGAGCCCAAGAAGTTCGAAACCAGCCTGGGCAACATGGTGAAACCCCACCTCTACAAAAAATACAAACATCAGCCAGACGTGGTGGCACACGCTTGTGGTTCCAGCTACTTGGGAGGCTGAAGTGGGAGGATCACTTGAGCGTAGGAGGTGGAGGCTGCAGTAAGCTGAGATTGTGCCACTGCACTACAGCCTGGGTGACAGAGGAGGATCCTGTCTTAAAAAAGTAAAATGGGCCCAGGTGCGGTGGCTCACACCTGTAATCCCAGCACTTTGGGAGCCCAAGGCAGGTGGATCGCCTGAGGTTAGGAGTTCGAGACCATCCTGGCCAACACGTTGAAGACCCATCTCTACTAAAAATACAAAAATTAGCCAGGTGTGGTGGCATGTGCCTGTAATCCCAGCTACTAGGGAGGCTGAGACAGGAGAATCGCTTGATCCCAGGAGGTGGAGGTTGCAGTGAGCCGAGATCGCACCACTGCACTCCAGTCTAGGTGAAAGAGCAAGAATCCATCTCAAAAAATAAAATAAAATGGGCCAGGCGCAGTGGCTCACACCTGTAATCCCAGCACTTTAGGAGGCTGAGGTGGGTGGATCACTTGAGGCTACGAGTTTGAGACCAGCCTGGCCAACCTAGCAAAATCCCGTCTCTACTAATACAAAAATTAGCCAGCATGGTGGCGGGCGCCTGTAGTTCCAGCTCCTCGGCAGGCCGAGGCAGGAGACTCGCTTGACCCTGGGAGGTGGAGGTTGCAGTGAGCCGAGACTGCACCATTGCATACCAGCCTGGGCGACAGAGCTAGACTCCATCTCAAAAAATTTAATTAATTAATTAATTAAATTAAATAAAGAGCAAGGAGGAAGAGTCTGGCAAATTTGTCAGCTGAGAGGATGACTGAGATTCTATCTTCCTTCAGAATAAAATGTATAAAGACTATTTTCTATACATTTCCTGCTTTAACGTTAATTGTGCATCTACTATTATGTAATTTGCCAAGCTCCATAAACCATAACAAGCTGATGAGATAGACACTCTTATTTTCTGAAATTTTTGGATAAGAAGACTAAAGTTCAAAGAATTTAAGTAAACTGTTTAAGGTCAGTCACATAGTTATGTGACCAAACCAAGAAAGACAGATCTGTTCCTTTAATCACTCAACAAAGTATTTGCAGAACGTCTAGTACACGCCAGGTATGTGCTAGGAGCCAGGATCCGAAAACTACTTGGAATGCTTCTGAATTACTGAGTTTGATGAGAATCTAAAAGTAGTTGCTATATTTGGCAAGAAACAAAGCACTTCACTGAGTAACGAGAGCCAGTGCGCAACAGACTGAAGTGAAAACGGGAGGCGAGAAAGAGAAACAGTGCGCACTCAGAGTTTCAGAAGAAGAAATCTGGAGAGAACGTAAAAAAGGGAAACAGTGCGCACTCAGATTTTCAGAAGAATCTAGAGAGGAGATATTGTAAAAGGTTTTTAAAGGATGGGAGCTTTCAGCGCCTGTTTGCATGCTGGCGAGAATAACTCACTAGAAAAAAAGAGACGGATGCTGCAGAATGGAGAAGAGATGATCAAAGGAGCTGCAGAGCTGAGGGGGATGGGATGGAGGCATCTCCATGCAGAGAGCAGAATAAGGACGGATCCAGCAGCACTGCTTCCAGGGCAGCCTGAGGTTGTGGCAAGGCACAAATGCTGAGTCTAGACAAGCGGTCTCCACAGGTGGCAGTGAAGACATCAGTCCTTGGCTCAGGTCAACCCAACAGCAAAAGGACGTGGTTCTGACAGTAAGAACCTGGACCCTGTTGCGTAGGCCCTCCCACACACACTTAATGCCACCCCCTCAGGCCCATGGTGACACAAATGTGGAAATGACACTCACATCATCCAACAATTTGCTTCCCTCTGGATCCACCTTAGAAAGTTCTCGAAATGCTTCATCCCCAACAAAGCAAATTTCATGTCCGTCCTACACCAATAAAGAGAAGAGACACCTGCCAAAGACATCCTTGAAGAAACCCCTGGCCCAGCCTGCCCCCTGCCTGAGGAATACTTACAGGGTCGGCCAGAATGACCACCTGTACTGCTGCTTTCCCTGGGGTGTCCAGGCTCACCAGGGGAGTCAGAATCTTCTGGTTCTCCCTTTTCATCAAGTCTTCTAAGTCTGGCAACTTGAGGAAAACAAAGGGGCAACGTGAGCCAGGGGTCACACACTACTCAGGACACGGCCCTCGTCAGCCCTAGAGGAGTATCAGACACCAGAAAGAACCAAGGCGCCGTGTGTTTGAATTTACTATCTCAGCTGCTCTTCAAACAACTGCTGACCTTGATACTAAAGCCACAGTCAAAAGGACCTCGAGAAGGGAAGGCCAAGGTTCTTAGCTGGGTTGAACCAGCTAGTCGCAGAGCTCAAACAATCTAGTATCAAGTGTTACCTCTTTCTCGGGGCAAGAGAAGGCAATTCTTCCAAAAGCTGCTGCGTGCTCCACCGTACCCTTGATGCCCTGGAGCTCCAGCTTACACTGAAATAGGAAAGGGGGTTATTTTTTGGAACAGGTTCTACGTTACATGTACGTGGTAGAAAAATTCAAACAGTATATACAAAAGGAATAAAGTAATAACTAAGGCTCTAGCCTACTCTCACCCCGGAGACAACTAGTAAGCAGTTTCTTGTGTATCCTTCTAGAAGCACTGCATGTGCACGCACCTATCTTTTTTTTACACAAATGGTAGCATAATTTACAAATTATTCTGTTCCTTGTTTTTCTCCACTTAATGTCACCATATCGATACATAAAGATTTGCCTCAATCTCTTTGCTAGCTACGTAGTAATCCATTCCACGAATGAACCATAAATTACTGAAGTATGTCTCTAATCTATAGGACACTGAAATTCTTACGTGTTGTGATTACAAACAATGCTGCAACAGACAACCTTGCACACACTTCTGTGTGCCTCTGTGTGCGGAGTACCTCTGTAAATAATTCCTAGGAGTAGAATTGCAGGGTCAAAGGGCAAGAACTACATCATGCTCAAATGCTGGGTTATTAGCAAAAGAAGATGAAAAAGATCTTGTATTAAATCCATTCAAAGGGCCGGGCGTGGTGGCTCACACCTGTAATCCCAGCACTTTGGGAGGCTGAGGAGGGCGGATCACGAGGTCAGGAGATCGAGACCATCCTGGCTAACACGGTGAAACCCCACCTCTACTAAAAATACAAAAAATTAGCCGGGCGTGGTGGTGGGTGCCTGTAGCCCCAGCTACTCGGGAGGCTGAGGCAGGAGAATGGCGTGAACCCGGGAGGCGGAGCTTGCAGTGAGCCGAGATCGCGCTGGGCGACAGAGCGAGACTCCGTCTCAAAAAAAAAAAAAAAAAAATCCATTCAATCTCTTTGATTAAGCAATTCCACTTCTGAAAAGATATATCCCCAAATATAAACAAGGTAATATCTGGGTGGTGAGGTTATCACTTATTTTCATTTTCTGCTTATCTATATAAATACTGAATCACTGTGAAGAAACTATGGGAACAACCTTCATGTTAACCTCATTCATATAGGTTATAAGCCATTTATAAGCTTCATTTATAAGCCAAATTCAAAGTAACAGGTTAGTTATTCTTCTCCAAGATTGCTCACCTGGTTATCAGCATAGCCCAGCAAAGCCCTTTGCTTTTCTTCATCTTTTTCATAAATTTTCATTCCCAGTAGATCACACCAGTAGTTCAAGGACTTGTGAAGATCAGACACTGCTAGAGTTACTTTTAATACAGGATCTGTCGGGTGATAAAGCAGGAACAGACAGATCAATTTAATGGACTAAAACAGAAAGACCAAAACATGCTCATGAATACATACAAATTCAGCGTATGTTAAGAAAGGGATTTTAAGCCAGTATGAAGTCAGGTGCGGTGGCCCATGCCTGTAATCCCAGCACTTTGGAAGACTGAGGCAGGAGGACTGCACGAGCCTAGGAATTCAAGACCAGCCCAGGCAACACAGTGAGACCTCACCTGGACGAAAAATTTTTAAAAATTGGCCGGGCGCAGTGGCTTAGCTCACGCCTGTAATCTCAGCACTTTGGGAGGCCAAGGCAGGTGGATCCCCTGAGGTCAGGAGTTCGAGACCAGCCTGGCCAACATGGCGAAACCCTGTCTCTACTGAAAATACAAAAAAAAATTAGCTGGGTGTGGTGGCGGGTGCCTGTAATCCCACCTACTTGGGAGGCTGAGACAGAAGAATCGCTCCAACCTGGGAGGCGGAGGTTGCAGTGAGCCGAGATGGCACCACTGCACTCTAGTCTGGGAGACAAGAGCAAAATTCCGTCTCAAAAAAAAAAAAAAAAAAAATTAGGCTTGGTGGCTCATGTGTGTATTCCCAGCCACTTGAAAGGCTAAAGCAGGAGGATCGCTTGAGCCCAGGTGGTCGAGGCTGCAGTGAGCCATGACTGCACTACTGCACTCCAGCCTGGGCGACAGAGTGAGATCCTGTCTCCAAAAACAAAAAAAAAGACAGTATGAAAATCCTAATTATTCAATGGATGGCACTAAGAAGACTGGCCAATCATTTGGTAAGAAAAACTTACATCTTTGAAATAAATGACAAAATACATTCCTGATGGGTTAAAAAAATAAGTTTAAAACACGAAATCATGAAAATACTAGATATAGACGATTATTTATACAATTTTGAGTAGAGGAAGATTTTTCTTTAAACCTGACACCAAAGATAGAAAAACTATGAAGAAAAAAATTCTGCTACGCGAATTACACAAAATGGAAAACTAGACAACAAACAAAAAAAGGAATTACAATCAAAACCAGAGTACACAACACAGTAGGGGGAAGAACTGCAATAGATTGGACAAAAAGTCCTTAATATGTAAATCACCTGTAAATATTAATAGGAAAAGAATGAATATGCTAGAAAAATAGGCAAAAGGCACAAAGCAATAATCCACAGAGGAAGGAATTAGAATGCTCAATTAACATATGAAAAAATATTCAACCTGACCCCCATAAAAAACAAAGACATTAGAATTCACATAAAATCTTTTGTTATCTAATGTGCAAATAATGTTAAAAGTTGGCAGTGTTAACTCTATTAGTGTAGAGGGGAAAATCACAATCTTACAATACTAGTAAAGTGTAAATTAGTACATTTCTGGGCAATAATTTGACAGACTGTACCAAAAGCTTTAAAAAATGTTCATTGCTGGCCGGGCGCGGTGGCTCAAGCCTGTAATCCCAGCACTTTGGGAGGCCGAGACGGGCGGATCACGAGGTCAGGAGATCGAGACCATCCTGGCTAACACGGTGAAACCCCGTCTCTATTAAGATACAAAAAACTAGCCGGGCGACGTGGCGGGCGCCTGTAGTCCCAGCTACTCGGGAGGCTGAGGCCGGAGAATGGCGTGAACCCGGGAGGCGGAGCTTGCAGTGAGCTGAGATCCGGCCACTGCACTCCAGCCTGGGCGACAGAGCGAGACTCCGTCTCAAAAAAAAAAAAAAAAGTTCATTGCTTTTGAAAGAACAAGTCAATTTTCAGCCACTCAAAGGTAATTGTGGATGTATGACGGGCTTTTACCCCAAAGACACTCATCAGTGTTGCTTAGAACGACAAAACACTAGGAACGACATAAATATCCAACAACAGAGAATGGTTTATCTTCCTACAATGTAATAATACAATGGAATTCCTATAAAAGGATATGAAGAAATGTATACACTTAATTATATATATGTATTTTTGACGAAAGATTGGAAAGATATACTCTAAAACGTCAGCAGTGGTTCTCTCTGGATATATGGGTGTGCGTGTTTTTTTCGGCTTATCTGCTTGTTGAAAGAAGAAACTTGATTATTTTGTAAAAAGAATAAAAGTCATATTGAAACACCTACTGTTATTGGAAACTTTTCACATTTAAAGTGACTTTCTAAAGAGCTGTTCCACGTCTCCATCTGACTACGATACATTCATTACATTTTTCTTTCGTTTTTCACTTCCTTAGTCCTGTTTGTTAGAACAGCAATACTGTGACTAAGACGCTGTTTCTCACAAGCGCCTCCGCCTGGCAGGCTCCATTTTTCTCCTTTCCATTTACTTCAAAATCAACCAGTCCCAGTTCACTTGGAGCCTGAAGGGACGCAGGACAGGAAGTTAACAAGTGGATGAAGCTGCACAGAAGTAATTCAAAGGAAAGATGAATGCCAGCCAGACAGAAGGTCTGACCACAACCAACCAGAAACGCCCAAAGGGATTTCCATTCCAAAGGACAAAAGCATCTTAGCACCGTGGAGCTCTCTATTATTTTAAGTACTGACATATCACTAAGGCTGGAGAAAAAAAATGGATGGTGGAGCTAGTTGCAAGAGTTAAGTTTTAAAGTCAGCAAAGGATCAATCACCTATCAACAAAAAAATACCATAAACACCCTTTAAATCACCAGTGAAGTAGAGAAACACCATCTCTCCACGAGTCCCACGCAGCCAAGTCTAGCCTCCCACACTGGAAAGGACTGATCTTTCTTTTGCTGAGCACCAGATGATAAACAAGGAGCATTCAACATCCTACGCAGACTCAGCAGGGGGGCACCGAGGACAGGAGGCCGACCAGTGGAAGAAGAATTTCCAGGACTCCTTTCTAAGGCCCACTTGCGGTCATACGTTCACCAAGTGAGACAGTGGGCACAAGTGCCTTTGCCATTCACCAGCGTTTTCCCCGTTTTTGCTTTTGTTTTGGCAGGGCAGGTAGGTGAATTTGCAGGCATTAAATACAAAATGAAACACTGATGAGGCTGTCTCTGCAGCCAACAAAACAAACCCTGCAAAGTTTCCTTCTTGTTCTGTGTGGCAGTCAGCGAGGGGGCTCCTCACTTCCACGCCATCCCTCACCGAGTACCGACCCTAAAGTTTGGGACCTCGGCTCCAGAGGCTAAATGGTTTGGGGATGATCCTATTTCTCTTGCCAGTGATTGGTTTCGGAACAGGCATAGTATATCAGATCTGACCAGGAAGTTTGCTGGAAGATTCTAGGAAAGTTTTTCTTCTGCTCTTAAAAAGAAAGCAAGCCAGGCGTGGTGGCTGACGCCTGTAATCCCAGCACTTTGGGAGGCTGAGGCGGGTGGATCACGAGGTCAGGAGATTGAGAGTATCCTGGCCAACACAGTGAAACCCCGTCTCTACTAGAAATACAAAAAATTAGCCGGGCGTGGTGGTGAGCGCCTATAGTCCCAGCTACTCGGGAGGCTGAGGCAGGAGAATCACTTGAACCTGGGAGGCGGAGGTTGCAGTGAGCCGAGATTGCGCCACTGCACTCCAGCTTGGGAGACAGAGCAAGACTCCATCAAAAAAAAAAAAAAAAGAAGAAAGCAAAAAGGGCCAGGCATGGTGGCTCATGCCTGTCACCCCAACATTTTGGGAAAGCTGAGGCGGACGGATCAAGTGAAGTCAGAAGTTCGAGACCAGCCTGGTCAACATGGTGAAACCTTGTCTCTACTAAAAATACAAAACTTAGCTGGGCGTGGTGGCGTTTGCCTGTAATCTCAGCTACTGGAAAGGCTGAGGCAGGAGAATCACTTGAACCTGGGAGGTGGAGGTTGCAGTGAGCCGAGATTGTCCACTGCACTCCAGCCTGGGCGCTGGGCGACAGAGAAAGATTCTGTCTCAAAAAATAAATAATTTTTAAAAAGTAATAAAAATACAAAAAAAAACAAAAAAAAGCTGGGCGTAGTGACAGGCGCCTGTAATCCCAGCTACTTGGGAGGCTGAGGAAGGAGAATTGCTTGAACCCAGAGGGCAGAGGTTGCAGTGGGCAGACATCATGCCACTGCACTCCAGCCAGAGCGACAGAGTCTCAAAAAAAAAAAAAAAAGCAGTAAGAAGTCAGCATCTCCTCTCCTACCAGATAGGCATGTGGGAGCACGCGGTCCTGCCTGCTCCTGGCAACCCTCCTGCAACCTTGAGGGGACCAGCTCTAGGAGAGGCACCTGCAGAGAACAACAGAACGTAGAAAGAGAAAAATGTGGCGAGCTGGCGAATCATCTAACCTTGAAATCTTCCCCAACTATAGAACGCCTGCTCTGTGAGCTAAAACATTCCATAACTGTTCAATGTAGTTGGGTTTTCTGTTATCTACAGATGAAAGACTCACAAATCAATAAATTACCAGTAGAACAGAACCAGTCTAGATCCCCTATTGCTATGTATTAAAGTTCTGATATGAGAATATAATTTCTCCGGTAACAGGTAAAAGCATTGGCTGGGGAAGACACATCACGTGAACACAGAAAGACTCTACAGAAAAAAGACAGGCGACCCTCACTCTCCTTTCCTCAAAGATGCCTTTAGACAGAGGCTTTTTCTGGTTCTGGTAAAATTACCTGACTGAGGCAGACTGCGATTCTGCAAATAGAACTTATATCCTCCTGGGGCCTCGGTTTCAAAAACACCTTCTGCGACTTCCGTCAGGGGCCACTCCAGCTTCCTGGCATTGCTGACAGCCTGGCTAGAAGCGAGTGTGATTCCCTAAAACAAACCACAGTACATCCAAGTACATGATCACAACAGATATTTTACAGAACAAGACAATGAGCCCAACCCCTACTGCCTACTGCCTTTAGGTAAAATCACCTAAGATTAATGGCATCCAACATTTTATTCTAGCGATTTAAAAACAGGTTTTCAATGTTTTATCCCACAAACATTCAGCTCTTCATGAATAATAAGACAGAAATTGAAACGCCAGTGAAGTCTGATTCATTTAACAGCAAAGATAACCTCTTCTAATTCTAAAGATCTAGCCAGAGAAATCTTGATGCTACCTGGGTCTGCCAGCTAGCTACCTATTTAAGGTGAACTGTTCTTGCTTTTTTAACAAACAAACAAAACAAACAAAAATAAGCAAACTATCAAGGTTTCCTTACATTTAATCAAAGTGTCTAGAAATGGACACCTATGCTTTCTGATAAGACCAGCCTTGTTTCTAGCTTCGATTATTATAATGGCCTCTCTGCCTCCAGTCTTGTAAATCCATTATCCACTCCGCAGCCAAAGTAAACTTTCCAAAACGCATCCTACAGTCCACCCCCAGACAGCAGCCAGCCTTGTTTTCCCTTTGCTCAAAGTCCTCCAATGGCTCATTTCTCTCGGATGACTTATGGTCTAGGAGGCCCCCTACAGTCTTACCCCATGGCACTGCTGACCCCATTCTTACCACGTTCCCTCTCATTCTCTGTTCCAGCCACACTGGCTTCCTTACACCTCCTTGAACACTCCAGATGTTACCTGAGGGCTCTTGCATAGGCTATTCTCTGCCTGGAATGCTCGTCCCCCAGATACCCACATGGCTAACTCCTTGACCTCTTTTGAGCCTCTGCTCAAATGTTATCTCTTCACTCACACACACCCTCAACACCCTACTCAAATTTACAACCAGCTACCTACCCCCAGCCAAAAATCCGCTAGAAAAAAACAGTATTTACCATAAAGTCATTGCCAAGCTTGTAGTCGCCGATGCCGTAATTGTAAGTCAGTTCTGCAACAAAATGATCGTCCTCAGGCCCAAATCCCACCATTGTTTTACTCCATTTCCCATCATAAGGCCTAGAAAATAAAAGTAAATGAACTCAGTGACCATAGACAAATCGGCCTCAGGCCACCCCTAGAGAACTACTGGGCACAGAGAAATGAGCAGTCCTGTCTGGTCCTAAAAGTTCTCTTAAGGATGAGATGACTTCAGATGGTGCAGAAAGCAGCTGTGGGTAGTGCTCATGGGACCCTACTACAAGCTCCTAAGACTATCTATTCAGCATCTACTTGAAGGAAAGATTTGTTCATCTTTTCTGTAAAGCAAGGAACAGAATCCTAAAGACAGTTCTCCAACTGACCTGTTATTTCCTTGACTATCAATCAACAAGTATGGACTTGGACTGTTCCAACTTGTCATGGTACTAAGATTAAGAGATGGCCAGGCGCAGTGGCTCAGGCCTGTAATCCCAGCGCTTTGGGAGGCCGAGGCAGGAGGATCACCTGAGGTCAGGAGTTCAAGAGCAGCCTGGCCAACATGGTGAAACCCCGTCTCTACTAAAAATACAAAAATTAGCTGGGTATAGTGGCACGTGCCTGCAGTCCCACGTACTAGGGAGGCTGAGGGAGGAGAACTGCTTGAACCCGGGAGACAGAGGTTGCAGTGAGCCAGGATAATGACCCTGTACTCTCACCTGGGTGACGGAGTAAGACTGTCTCAAAAAAAACAAAGACATTAGAAGCTGCTGCTTCATCCAGAGCATGTATTTGCATTTGTGGCATAATATGAAACATATCTGGTCACTGTCCCCTGTTCCTCTGGAATTTCCTGACGGGAACATCTTTTGTTATTATTTATTTGCGTTTGTGGCATAATATGCAACATATCTGGTCACTGTCCCCTGTTCCTCTGGAATTTCCTGATGGGAATATCTGTTGTTATTCACAATAAGCCCCTGTCGGTCACACCCAAGTTTATGCTAATGAGGAGACTTAGAGTGGGGCCTCTACATAGACTCAGGATGGGGCTGGTCACCAGAAAGACAAATCATTAGAGGACTGGAACTTTCAGTCCCACCCACCAACCTCTGGGAAGGAAAGGGATGGAGACTGGGCTCTATTAGGCTTGAACGACGAGACTTGATGAGCTTCTGGGATGCTGAACGCATGCAGGTGCTGGATTGGAACCTGCCCCAGAACAACATGGAAGCTCTGCTGCCGCTCCCCATGCCCTGCCCTATGTATCTCTTCTGTCCAGCCGTTTCTAACTCGTACCCTTTATAATAAACCAGTAAATGCAAGTGTTTCCAGCGTTTCCCTTCGTTCCACGGGCCACTGCAGTAGATTATCAAACCTGAGGAAGCAGGAGCGGAAAGCCCTGATTTGTAGCTGGTCATCAGAAATCCTGGAGGTCCAGACTGTGACCAGCACTTGACGTGGCGGAAATCTTCTGGGACTGAGCCCTTAACTTGTGGGATCTGACATTAACTCCAGGTAGAGTCAGAATCGGATTAAATAACAGAACAGCCGGCTGGTATTAGAGAGCTGGAGAACTGCTTCACGTGCCACAAGTGTTGTATGAGAGTGCAGAGAAAACAGAGTATGTGTTCCCGACATTCCTGAAGTCGCCTCTGCAATTTACTGCCTCCTGAATTAATTCCACTGCTTTATATTCACTATGAGGGTGCAGAGAAACAGAGTATGTGTTCCCGACATTCCTGAAGTCGCCTCTGCAATTTACTGCCTCCTTAATTAATTCCACTGCTTTATACTCACTTTGAGAAACTGTCTTCTGTTATCCCGGTGTAGTCAGAGCCTAAAGGAGATTTTAAGAAACAAGGTATCATACCCATTGCAGGCGGCTTTGCAGCCTTCTTCAAATTCCTCATGCCGCAGGACCTGGTGTGAGATTTAGAATAAATTGTGAAGTGTTACTCGTACTGTTCACAGCTTCTTTAGCACAAACTAAAATGTCAAAACACAGATATTATCATTTGTAAGCTTTACTTGTAAAAGAACAAAAGCAAATGAGCTTTATACTTCTCCCAGGATAGAAGTAGTAGAAGCAAGAACAGTTTGACATCAAGGGTTGGGCTACCAAATCAGTTGTGAAATCTATTTAGATTGGTAAGCAGTGCTATGCAGTGGGAAAGTGCAACCTTCAGCATTAAAGAAGTCTGATTTGGACCGGGCACAGTGGCTTACATCTGTAATACCAGCACTTTGGGAGATCAAGGCAGGTGGATCGCCTGAGGTCAGGAGTTCAAGATCAACCTGGCAAACATGGTGAAACCCCATCTCAACTGAAAATACAAAAATTAGCCAGGCGAGGTGGCACGTGCCTGTGATCCCAGCTATTCAGGAGGCTGAGGCAGGAGAATCACTTGGACCCACGAGACAGAGGTTGCAGTGAGCAGAGATCACACCACTGCACTCCAGCCTGGGTGATGAACAAAACTCCATTTCAAAATGAATTTAAAAAAAGGACAGGCTCTGTGGCTCATGCCTGTCATCCCAGCACTTTGGGAGGCTGAGGTGGGCAGATCACCTGAGGTCGGGAGTTCGAGACCAGCCTGGCCAACACAGTGAAACCCCGTCTCTACTAAAAATACAAAATTAGCCAGGCGTGGTCATGGGCGTTTGTAATCCCAGCTACTCAGGAGGCTCAGGTAGAAGAATTGTTTGAACACGGGAGGCAGAGGTTGCAGTGAGCTGAGACTGCACCATTACACTCCAGCTTGGGTGACAAGAGCAAAACTCAATCTCAAAAAAAAAAAAGCAAAGAGTCTGATTTGGAATTCCGTCATTTAGTAGTTGTGTAACTCTGAGCAAGTTAGAATCTGAGTCTCAGTCTCCTAACATGTGATGGGAATGGAAGTTATTAAAGCATCTCACAGAACCCTGCACACAGCAGGCTCTCGATGTGTTAGCTTTAGTCTTCCTTTTTGATTTCCACAGCTCCTGCCAGTTCAAGTTCCCAATGCTCTGCTCAGACTATTAAAAATCATCCTTATTGATATCCTTCCTTAATACCACCATAGAAGTACACGCCTAAAGCACACAGCTCTGATCCCATCACTGCCCTGTTTAAGAACGTAAGTGAGCTCCCTTCTTACTGAAGCATAAAATCCAAATTCTTTAGCAAAGCATTCAAGATACTATCAGAAGCAATGCCGACCTGTCCATCCTGATATCCCATCTCCTCAACTTCAACTAAGCAACCTCAACTAAAGGCACATAAAACCAGTGGCTTCGCAAACATGTGCCATCACTGCACTGGCTCTTTAGTGTTACTATGTAGCTCCCCCTCTAATCTATCTGTGGATATCCCAACTTTAGAAGTCAACTCGAATCCTGGCTAACACGGTGAAACCCCGTCTCTACTAAAAACACACACACACACAAAAAATGAGCCAGGAGTGGTGGCGGCCGCCTGTGGTCCCACCTACTGGGGAGGCTGAGGCAGGAGAATGGCATGAACTCCGGAGGCGGAGATCGCGCCACTACACTCCAGCTTGGGTGGCAGAGCGAGACTCTGTCTCAAAAAAAAAAAGTCAACTCAAATACAAGGTCTACAGGAATTATTTCCTCATCACCCAGGTTGGAAAAACCTCTCCTTTTGTATTTTCATAATAGTTGCTAATACTTACATAATGTACTATCATCTATATGTTAAATACTACACATATAATAAGGTGTTTAATGTTTTTTTTTGAGAGGGAGTTTTGCTTTTGTCGCCCAGGCTGGAATACAATGGCGCGATCTCGGCTCACTGCAACCTCTGCCTCCCAGGTACAAGCAATTCTCCTGCCTCAGCCTCCTGAGTAGCTGGGATTAACAGGTGTTGGCGCCCACCATGCCTGGGTAATTTTTGTATTTTTAGTAGAGACGAGGTTTCACCATGTTGGCCAGGCTGGTGTCCAACTCCTGACCTCCAGCGATCCGCGTCTCGGCCTCCCAAAGTGCTGGGATTACAGGTGTGAGGCACCGCGCCCGGCACATGTTTAGTCTTTACAGCAACCTTTTGATCAACGAAGAAATACTAACAAGGGACAGCTCTGTGGTTTCTGCTATCGAAAGTTTTGTGGTTTTTCACTATCAAATTCTGACTTCCATTACCATCACCTACGTACAAATCCAGTTCCAACTCCCACCCCAACCCAGGCCATGAGCTCTAATGGAGGATTATCCATTAGGGTCATTTGAACCTTTGTTGCCAAAACTCAATGTAGTACCCTAAAAATAGCAGATTTTTTTTTTTTTTTTTTTTTTTTTTTTTTTTTGAGACGGAGTCTCGCTCTGTCGCCCAGGCTGGAGTGCAGTGGCGCGATCTCGGCTCACTGCAAGCTCCGTCTCCCGGGTTCACGCCATTCTCCTGCCTCAGCCTCCCAAGTAGCTGGAACTACAGGCGCCCGCCACCTCGCCCGGCTAATGTTTTGTATTTTTAGTAGAGACGGGGTTTCACCGTGTTAGCCAGGATGGTCTCAATCCCCTGACCTCGTGATCCACCCGCCTCAGCCTCCCAAAGTGCTGGGATTACAGGCGTGAGCCACCGCGCCCGGCAAAACAGCAGATATTTTAAAAATGATCTGACGAATTCAGCCCCCCCCCCCCACCGCACCGTCTCCACACTAAACCGCGCTCTTGCACCTTTCAAGTCTTCCTTACTGGTGTGCTCCCTACCTCCCCGATTTATCGAAGGAGGTCCCCCAAACCCAGTTCCCCAACCGAGTCCTGCAGTAACAGCTGCTCAGGACCGGGGAGAGACTGCTTCTGGGTGCTGTTGCAAAGGGGATGGGTTGCGAGTTGGAGCCCATGTTCAGAGAGACTGAGTACCCGAGTGGAGCCATTCCGACCAGCCCTGACACAAGCAGAACTCTGAATATGCTGGTTTTACCTACATCAAAGGCTCCAAACCGGAAAAGACAAATATTAACTGGAAAGCATTATATGACATTTTGTGTATTTACCGTCTTTTCCGGTAGACAGTAAGCTCCACAAGGGCGGGGTTCAATAAACATCTACGAGTGACTTAAACGAAAGGACGTGCTGGGCACACCGCGGGGAGTAATCGCGTTAGGCCCCTCTCCAAGGCCTATGATCGCCACCGGCAACTCGCCGCTCCCGAAGCTGAACTCCGCGCCGGGCCCAAGGTCGGGCACCCTCCGGCTGAGGTTCACGACACACCCATCTTCCCCTCCCTCCGCCAGGGCCGGCTCGGGGGCCCGTTCCCGCCTCGCGCGCCAGCCCCAGTCGAACCCGGCCTGCACCTTCATCCCCAGGACGTCCCGATAGAAACGCGCCGTCTGGAAGCGGTTTCCCACTTTGAACACGAAGTGCAGAGCTCTGCGAGCAGCCATGACTCCCGCGCACGCAGCCGTCACGCGCACGGTACCGCCCAGCCCACGACGGGCGCCCCGGGCCGTGACGTCACTGGCCGCCGACGGCGCGCCTTGGTGACGCAGCCCGGGTCTCAGGGAAGATGGCGGCGCTGGTGAGACCCGCGAGGTTTGTCGTGCGGCCGCTGCTGCAGGTGGTGCAGGCTTGGGACCTTGACGCGAGGCGCTGGGTCCGGGCGCTGCGGCGGAGCCCAGTGAAAGTGGTGTTTCCCTCCGGAGAGGTGGTGGAACGGAAGCGCGCTCCCGGGAAGCAGCCCCGCAAGGCAGCATCTGAGGCCAGTGCCCAGGAGCAACGAAAGAAATCACCGCTTGAGGAGTCCGCATCCCACGCTCCCAGCACCTGGGAAGAGTCTGGGCTTCGCTACGATAAAGCTTATCCCGGGGACAGGAGGCTGAGGTGATGTGGGTCTTGAGGCCTGTCGAATGTTCTCGTTTCCCTTCCCGCCTCACAGCGGAGCCTTAACCTCCTTCTCCGGATGGAGGACTTCTTCCAGTACAGCCCGCTGGCTTTTGTATTATGCACAGAGAGCCGAATACGGGTCTTTGGAATTAGCTTCTGTTTCCCCTCAGCTCTTTGTTGTTGTTTTTGTTTCACCATGTTGGTCAGCCTGGTCTCGAACTCCTGACCTCAGGTGATCCGCCCGCCTCGGCCTCCCAAAGTGCTGGAATGACAGGTGTAAGCCGCCGCGCCCGGCCCTCTCCTTAGCTCTTTATTTCTGTTACAACTAAGCGTGTCTCGGTAACAAGGATGTTGATAGTTACCTGTTTGTTTGTTTTTTTCCATCTACAGCAGTGTAATGACAATAGTAAAGTCCAGGCCGTTTCGGGAAAAACAAGGGAAGATCCTGCTGGAAGGTCGCAGGCTCATTACAGACGCTCTCAAGGCTGGAGCTGTGCCAAAAATGTTCTTCTTTAGCCGTCTAGAATACCTAAAGGAGCTGCCAGTCGATAAGCTGAAAGGTGTCAGCCTCATTAAGGTGAAATTTGAGGATATCAAGGATTGGTCCGACCTCGTAACACCACAAGGAATAATGGGTCAGTGATTATTACACAGTGTATCTTTTTTTTTTGTCTTGCTCTGTCACCCAGGCTGGAGTGCAATGGCGCAATCTCGGCCCACTGCAACCTTCGCCTCTCAGGTTCAAGGGATTCTCCTGCCTCAGCCTCCCGAGTAGCTGAGACTACGGGCATGCACCACCACGCCTGGCTAATTTTTGTATTCTTAGTAGAGATGGGGTTTCACCATGTTGGCGAGGCTGGTGTCAAACTCCTGACCTCAGGTGATCCTCCTGCCTCTGCCTCCTAAAGTGCTGGCATTAAAGCATGAGCCACTGTGCCCAGCCTTACGCAGTGTATCTTAAAGTGGAGACCTAGGATTAATTTCTCATACTTGTCTTAGGACAGCAGATTTCATTGAAATGAAATTCAAAATGTTACAATTAGAAAAATATAATTCTCAAACCTGTGTATCTTAGAATATTTTCAATGGAAATTGAAACCCGTTTTTCACTATCATTTGTGTTGTGGCTCTTTATAATCTCTAGGAAGAACCACTATTCCTCAAACCTTGTATTTTTTAGATTACGTCTTCAACTTTTTATGTCAGACTAAAACTTAAGAAAATGTTTACTAAAAGAGTTAGCCCTTCATTTCCGCAAAAACTCTGCTGATGTGGTGATAACTGTTAATAAATTCCTTATTCTAGAAGCAGATCTAAGAAGTGAGGTATAAGCCATAATATACTGCCCTGTTAAGCCCAATAAACGGAGAACCTTGTCTTCTAGTCTGTTTCTTCATTTGGCTGAATCTAACTTAACCTTATTTAATGTCGATTAGCAATTACAAAGTCTTTGGTCTAAATATGAGAAGATAAGTTTTTCATACGTTTTTGACATTGGAGTTTTATTTAAGATATGAAAACTGAACCCTTGAACTGTTGGGAGAGGAGATTCTGGGGGACCGTCTCTTGTTTCTGTAATCCAGTGAGTCACAGGGATCTGTGCCTCTACAATCAGAACTCTTAGATCCTAGGATGGGGACTTGGATTCCTAAAGTACCTGGAATTACTCATGCTAAGTAACCATATTCTCACTAGATACAGCCCTCTAATCCACACTCGATGCTTCAGTGAACATGTCATTCATTTTTACTGAGCTTTTCACTTTGGGCACGTGTGCTAACAGTGGCCATCCCATCTTGAACTTCATCATTATACCTGCTTTCATCATTTCCTGGCTTTATAATTTTTACATTATTTAGCTTATCCTTATGTTACTGTATTTTAGATTTGAGGGCAAGGAATAAGGGAGAAATGGATAGGAACTGGCAGCACCTGTCAGGCTTTAGACAGACACTCTCCAGAATCCAGTGATGTAAGTAGGGTCTCTGTATGGTGGGTTCTTATCACCACAGACATTCAAGTAGAAGTAAAGGACTTCTAAGATCCCCTGCCCTACCGAATGGCTTGTGGCCATCTGTGACTTGGAAGTGGAGGCTCTCTCACAGCACACAGACGCCTAATACCCTTCCATTGCCTTCAGTGGTGGGTAGGCTTTTTAACTGCACTGTAAAAGAATCCTAAATCTTTGATTGTATCATTACAAGTACTATTGATTGTTTCAGTACAAGTACTACTTCATTCATCTCCTGACTTCAGTCAGTAGCCCATTTATTGGCGCAATTATATATGACAAAATACTAGTAAGATTCAAAAAAATCTGTACAGTCCCTTGGGAGCAGACTACAAAGGGTTTGAATATTTGGTAATGATACATAAAGAGTTCAAGGTAGTGCTTGGCCTAAAAAAAAAATGTTTACTAAAAGATTTATCTTTTACTAAATGTTTACTAAAAGGTTATCGTTATCACCTCTACCAGGAAACATGGTGATTCAAAAAGAAACTTGTGGATATGTGATACATCCATGTGAATAACTTCGTCTATACCACAGAAATCTCATGTGCTCTAAAGCCATTTTTAATACTGTTATTAGCCTTTTTCCAGTTTTTCTCGCTTCCCATAAATTCTTTCCATAAAACTTTAGAGATTATTACAATGTAGAGATTATAATGCAGATTAGATAATGTAGATTATTATATAATGTATATATAATTTTATAATATAGAGATTATTAAATAGGGAGAGAATGTTCCACTAAGAAGGCCACTTGGGGTTTTCATTTTCCCAGATAGCCCCAGACTCCATTTTACTCTTTTGTATCAGACTGAGGACAGAGAGGTCACCGGTAAGTGGCTGTACCCATTCTAAAGCTCCCAGGCTTCTGTACCTCCAGCGTGAGGCCTTACAAGTGACTCAAGCGTTCACTGCACCCACAGCCCCTTTGTTTTGCAGAGTATGTCCCTAAGACAGTGCTTCCGAACCAATGTATTTGAAAAAGGGGTCGTTACTTTGATGCGTTCAAGTTTTGAAATTCAGATTCTTTTTCCTACGAATGTACTTTTAATTTTAAAATGTGTGATAAAGGTCAGATAAATCAGAGTATAGCAGGCTAATAATTTTTTAAATATTTAAGTGAAACCTACAAACTGTTTCTTAAAAGCCTACCTGGTAGGAAGATGGGCACAGGTTATAGAAACGAGACGGTTAAGGGAGCACAGGAACTCACTGAAGAAGGTCACAATCGGTCAGTAAGGTGTTTAGCTTCTCTAGTAATCAGGAAAAAGGCAAGTTAAAATAATGGCATGCCATTTTTTCTGTCACACTGGGAAAAATGGAAACAAGTGATAGACCCTCTGTTGAGAAGGGTTTGAGCTGGAAAACAGGTTTTGTTTTGTTTTTTGTTTTTGTATTTTTATCAGAGACGGGGTTTCACCATGTTGTTCAGGCTGGTCTCGAACTCCTGACCTTGTGATCCGCCCACCTCAGCTTCCCAAAGTGCTGGGATTTTAGGCGTGAGCCGCCGCACCCGGCCAAAAGCAGATATTTATGAGTTCCTGATGTGAATAAACTGAAAGAGCCCGTGTGAACGTTCAGAGTGCACACACATCATTTGTCCATTTCACTCAAGGTATTTATGCTAGAGAAATTTTTAGACACATGGACAGACAGTCCTACGGGGATACCCATCGCAGCATTATTTGTAACAGAGAAAAATTCAAATAATTTAACAGTCCATAGGGGAAGAGCAAAATGAACT